TTTTTGTCCAATTAATAAGTCATAGCTGATTTGTATTATCCAAAAATTAATCAGAGCATTAGAACGCGGAAGTGAAAAAAATAAACTGAAGTTATATGGTGGGAAATAAAACATTCATATACATTATTTAAATAATGTGATATGTATGTTTATGATTTTATACAACAGTGCTGATACTGAAATGCTTGTTTTCACGGATCTTTATTTCGGTATCAGGTATCCTTAAAATAAGATAATGCTTATATATATATATATATATATATATATATATATATATATATATATATATAAAGCCATTTGCGATTGAAATTACGTGATAAACATTTTGCAGTGATTGCAATTTATAAGAATGACGATTTTATGTTGATCTTTCGCGTATAAAACAAAAAAAAAATACTACCGTGTTATAAGACATACGTTTCTGTAGTCAAATATAAAATTAACACGAAAATATTTCGGATTTGACTATTTGCTATCGTTAGTTAAAAATACTATATGCCGGATAATATTTTATAACGATTACGACCAATAATCATCAATGCAATTGATAATATTGAAAATTAAGTTTAGTCTAATGATATACAAAAATATTATTAAACAATTTTGTTATATTTCTATTTCATCATCCGGGTAGCAATATAATTCAACAAACATTTAATTATTAATTAAATTCATTATTTTGAAGTGTAGCAATATTAATTTACAAAAAATATAGTATAAATTTTACAAAATTTATATAATAATATTTTTTATTTATTACGCTTTTTTACATTATTTACAATCTTTTATACTGCACAATTTTCCTTTTTGACTGACTTTCTTCATTCTCTTCTTCTGATCGTTCTTTTTTATCTTCGATCTTCGAAGTTTAGTTTGTTCTTCATTTTTCTTTCCATCTTTATCGTGTTCTAACATTTTCTTATTACTACCAACAATTCAACTCAATTATTTGAATTCTGTAGTTTTTTATTTCGACACGAAATTTTTACGCCAATGGTGGGGCTTGAACCAAGTACCCCTAGCGTTTGGGGCGAACATGCTACCCATTGAGCCACGTCCGCCCCGTTAAAAAACAAATATTTTGTAAAATATATACTACATGTGTAATTCAATATGATTGTTTTTTTTGTCAAAATATATTATTTGAAGCTGATTTGACGTAAATATGTCTATAAAACGGGCCGATTTGACATAAATACTCTGTTAGAATTTATCTGTCAAAATTAGCAGATTCGCTAATAGAATCATGTTTATTTATTGTTATACAAACGGCACGAATAAAGGTAGAGCTCAGTAAAACAAGTTAAACTATATAAACTTTTTAAAAATGCTTAAAAGACAAGGGTGTGTATTTTAATACTTGGATTGATTATTATATGCATTTGAATTTAAATATGTCTAATTTGCTCATGACTATTATTGAAGGCATGTTGCTGTGCAATTGCGAAATGCAGAGAAGATCAACAATATTTATGCTATTTTGCCCACAACAGACCTTTTTCTTAAATAAATAAATGAAAATAAATAAATAATAATGCTTATGAAACGCTGGGTTCAATGAATAAAAAAAAATCGAGCCAATAAAAAAATAGAAGCATTGGGATAAACGTAAGATACTTCTAATAGTGATTTTGCGATAGTACAGATAGATCTTTGGGCGAAATGGATATTTACTGATATTATATATAATTAAAATTTATATATACATATATATATATATATATATATATATAAATTTGAATTAAAGATACCATTTCATAAATGGTCATTAATTCAAAGCCTTAATAATTTTCTTCTGCGCCCACCGCTTTTAATGAATAGTTCGCATCCGATTTGCGGTAGTGCGCTTTCTACGTAGTCGGATTAATGTTAATTATAAATCAAATTGTAAATCTAATCACAATTGACACAATTAACGATAATCTTATTTTCTAGTGTCTGTAACCCGATTCTTCGGCCATGGTGAAAGGACAGACCGCCCACTCGCTCACGGAAGCAGTTGCCGCCGCAAGAAGACGTAAAGGTTTCTCGTTTATCACATTCGAATTGATGACAGGACTGGCAAATAAATTACATCTTCCTGATATTTGCAGTTAATATACGTCAATGTTATTGATGTCGAAATAAAGGATTGATGGGCGTAAGTATTTTTTAAGTTTCCCACCATCCCATATATTTCTAGCGGGCATCGCGTTCATATATGCTTGAAGTTGAAGATATACATTTGAAATAAACGTTTCTTTATTTTATTGAAAATGCAAAATTAAGTTTTTATTTGGTGTTCTTTAAATTTTAAATATACTAACCAAATAGCTAGAAACTTAGGTTGCATCATAAATGTTTATAACCACAGTTTTCCAATGGAAAAGGTCCACAGCTGTTCAGAATTTTAAAGTAAAGTCAAAAGTTGAACAAGTATCGAAAGAATCGATTGAGAAAGCCACAAATTGAAAAATTGTAAACTTCGGCTCTTGTCAATATTTCTCTAAAGAAACCTTATACATATTTAAATCTATAAAAGCATTCACTTTATAAATTAAATTGATTTAAAAATCATCTATTTTGACTTTGAAGCCATAAGAAATTTTCACTTATCACAAAAATTTCTTCAAAGAAAAACATGATTTATGATGATAATTTTCAAATTATTTATATTCTGCACTTTTAATTTTTAATTTATATTGCAATTATCTAATGCCAATGATTTATAAATATCAATATTCATACTATAATTTAATACGGACCGGCTGGAATGTTATTTTTTAAATATACGAAAAACATTAAAGAGTTGAAAAAATAAACACCACTAGTTAAATGATGTGTATTATAGTTTTATTTATTTGGGAATGAGTCATGAAATAGTAAAATTTATGTAAACATTCGATTAATAAAGGAGTGTCTAGCAAGATTTAAATGTCGCGATTAAACGAGTTTATATATTGGCCTTGATAATATTAAATCAAAATGAAAATGTTAAATATTTATTAGTTAACTTGATTATTCATAGCAAATATAGATTTATATCAAGAAATGAAATAATGGCAAATTAAGAATCTAATAGCACGCTAATCTTTTCACATGCTTTTCACATTAATAAATTGTTAAAACTGAAGAGATTTTTAATATATTTTCGCTTTTGCTTCAAGATTTACTATTCTGAGTTTAATGACTGAAAAATCGACTTTGTTATCTTGGTTTTAATTAGAAGTGAATTTTTTTCATTTCAAATATATTTTTAAAATCGTAAAATATTTTGTGTGGGAAATACATGAGCGGTTTCTTTTTTCGTATAGTAGTGTTATTTCTGCTGAAAACATAGGGGCCAGAGGGTTAAAACTGTGTGTGGAACGTCAAAGATATATAAAACAATAGGACAAACAATCTACCAATTATTTTTCATCTGGGTTATCAGCTCGTACAGCAGTGTCGTTTTTGCAGAAAACATTGGGGAGAAAGGGTTAAAAATTTGTGCGGAACGTCAATTATTTTCCAAGTGGTTTACCAGCATTATATATGACTGGTAAATTTTAAATACCGTTATGAATTGTATATTTGTATAAAAATAGCACGATCACATCGAAAAGATTATTTCGCATCTCAAGTCGTTTACATCCACGTATATTGCATTTATTCATAAACATTCCCTCGTATCGTCCGTTAAATGGTTGGCGGCACACGAACAAGATTTATTCATTACCTTAACACGATAAGAAGTATAAAGTGTTGTTTTAAAGCTTCGTAATTAAGTGTTTATGAATTCAAAAGTGCCGGCGAACGGAATGGGCCCTTCGCGGCCGTTTTCTGCTCGGCCGAGCGCATCATTATCGGCGAGCGTGCGTGAACAACGGGTTGAGCCCTTAGTCATCAAATCAATTTGAATATATATACATAATTACTTATAATTAGATGATAAATCCTATATCATCACATTCGAAAATTTTATATTAACACTTTCCACCTGTCTGTCACCCTGAGGTGACAAGGTAGTCTGTCTAGCATACCGCTCGGTCGTCTCCTCTTATTATTAGGCACATGACATTTTGTATACACAATGATTCAGTCCATATTGCGTCGAATACAATAGATCAATGATGAGAAACCCTCGGCCCTTAGGCTTCTTGGGGACCTTTAAATATTTTTATTTTTTTTATTTTTTTCACCACCTTTCTTTCATCGGAAAATTAATTATAATGTATTCGTTTCTTGTTGCAATCACTTACAAAATATTCACTTTTTTCAATATTGTATTTTTATATTATAATGATTGCTAGTATATATCCAGCGTTGTAAATTAGGACTCGCCACAATATTTAAAAATTTAAATACTGCCTGTGAACAAATACGTTGCTCATTATTAGATTCGATTTATGCAGTGATGAGGCAGTGTATTTTTTACTCTTTATTATATAATTTCTTTCTAAATATGGCAAAACGATCAAACAATTCGTAAGTTCATAAAAAAATCGAGGAAAATATAAAAATTGGAATTACATTTTAGTGGGACGTAAAAAAGAACTGTTATGCAGCTAATTGTAAGTAATTATATAAGTGACTGTGGAATCAGCCCTCTATTACTTATAAACCTACGGGATCGAATTTTGTATTGTAATATTATTAGAAATTATATAACCTAAATCAAATTGATAACATCATGGATAAATTAGAGGTTGATAAAAAAAAATCTATAAACTACGTTTGATATAATTAGATTCTTAAAAACACAAAAAAAAATATTTTATTTTTTAAATTTCAGAATATGATTTCGCATGAATAATATTCAAATGATTTTGTATGCGTATTTTATAATCATTATTAAGTCCACAACATTGCAAGTCGCATTTAAGTTAGATTTTAATTTGAAAAAATGTAAATTAAATTGCTTGTCTAAAAAAATGTATTTTTAGAATCAACAAAACAAGAACGATCGCTTTAATTAAAACACAATTATCAGAATTTGCTAGAATAATGTAAAAATTAAGTAAAATTTGGAATAAACTTACATAATTCCTCTACTACGTAAACCGAAACATCAAGTACTATGCACTCAACACAAACACAACACTTACTGAATTTTCAGCCCAAATCGAACTGAAACATTAGAAAAAACTAACGGTATTTAATATTATATAACTTTTTACTAACAACTGAAGATGTCGACACGTTTTTGTCAAAGTTATGTACATATTAGAAATTAAATATTCTATAATTTTAATGTTAATTAGAATTATAAAACTTAAGTTAATTTTCAATATAATCTGGAGGCTTTGTTAATTATAAGTTATATCAATTATGCGAAACAGACAAACTTAAATAATATTACCTTAATCTTATGCGACTAAATGTGTCAGATTTCACCCTTTGAGGTGTGATTTTCGAAATTACTATTTTTGTTTATTTCTTGTTCTTCTTCAAAGAATATATATATATATATATATATATATATATATATTATTTCATAGTATAAATTATATAAAATTAAAATAAATTCGCAGGTCCTGCTTCGAAGAGAAAACTTCCGAAGAAGAAAGTGACGTCTAAAGTGAAGTGAAGTCTAAAGATGTTGTAAAGAGAATGTATGTGGTTTTCTTTGGTTATCTAGCTGTATGAGTTTTATTAACGTCATAAAGCTAGTTTACCGGAGTTAATAACAACATTAATTCATCGCAATTCTAAAATTTATGCTTCCACAGCAGACCACAATTGTACTGTTCGAGAAGTGAATAGTTTAATAATTAAATAAACAATACTCATATTTTTAACTACATCTTTTCAGAAGACGCCCAATGGTTGACCTGTCAATATGATGTATTTGTATATTAAGAAATCACTGGTTTTGTAATTGTAAACAAATTAATTTCACTTAAAAACATAATATTATTTATATATTATTAGTTTTAGTTTTATTAAAAAAAATGGTTTGTTGCAATGTAATACCATTTAATTTATTTAGTATTAATAATGATAGTCTCAGCATGAAAAATTATATAATAAATATTCTTGTGTTAAAATGATGATTTAAAAATAAATTGTATACGATTTCAAATTAAATTAACAAAAAGTTATTAAATTTTTAAACATACTTAAAAAAAGTTTTTGGTTTTGTTTTGTTTGTCAAATAATACAACTTGTACAAGAAATATAATTCAATATAATTAAAATATTGTATTAGCTCAATGTAGTATCAAATTATTTTTTTCGATAATATAAAGAACCTTCTGTCAATAAAATATATTACGGGCCAATTCTCAAATGGCAGCAAAACTGTCAAAATGCTATGCTTTTCACTTCATTATCTCAAAAAGAAACAAATAGAATTTTTTAATTACACTATTTTAGAGTAGAATGCAAAAGATGTGTAACCAGCTATCACCTGAACTCTTACCACGTTACTATCAGAAAATGAAGCAACTTGTATCAATATTCATACCAAAAGTATTTTCTTTCGTTTGTGGCTTTTTGGTCTTAAGCTCTTGAATTTAGTTTATGATATCTGAATATTTGTAAGATGCATTGTTATTTTAGGTTAGATTCAAGAATTTTTTTATATAACCTCTATAAAATTTTACATATGGGTGGAATAAAAAGGGCCAATTAAATCTTCATATTGACAAAGATGTAATCAATAAAAAATAGTAGATTAAAAAAGCAATTTCACAAGTGATAAATAAAATTAATAGTTTTTTGACTTCAGCTGATGGATATTTATTTCGAAGTCAAGATCAAGGTTATATACCATGGAATCTTTGTGAAAAAAATTCTCATAAAATTTGTATTTTACGTTGGTTAAATAATATAGCTATGGGGCAAGAAGAAACATATTTCTATAAGTTGAAGTTAACTGGGAATTTTACTGAACATAGTTCGATAGTTGTTTGTTTGATACATGCTATGTGTTATCATGAAGTACAATCAGTTTACTATAAGTGTTTACTATTACTAATTACTGAAATTCAAATTGAAATATTGTGCCCAGCCGTACACTATTATAAAAGAATAAGAAGTGATTATTAACAAAACTAACTGATTTACTGAATAAAATATTTATTATGCACAAATTAACTTTATTGATTTAGTTTTTTTACACAGACAGTTCAAATACCATAAATATTGGAAATATTGAAACCACAGTGCAACCATTAACTAAACTTAAACAAATATTTCAAACAAAACTGTACAATAATCATATTTCATTCTGTTATGAATATAATCAAATGTTTATCTTTTTTTTATAAGACCGTATGAATTTGTTTATTTAAAACTCTCAATTATAATGTATATTATTCTTATTTATCAACAAATGAAAAATTTCATCTAAGTTATATAAAACATTAAACAAATTTGGGATTGCATGTCTCTTTGTAAGGGTTTTTGATTGTTTATTTTAATTACAATTTTATTACTCAGACTTATCGTATTCTTTATTTATATTAAAATCTATAAATTATAGTATATTCGTTTCAACAAGTATGTTATATCAAAACTAATACTACTACTAATTTCACTATTTCCTATAGATTTTCAACCGTAGAATAGTAATTTCACTTCGGTGGTTTACATATGCAAATTTCACTAATCAGACACTCAAATCAACTTTTTGCACTTTTTAGAAAACAATCTGCTAATTGATTTCATAACATTATAATGCGACTCACAGTTATACAAATTGTACATTCAATAGCTTTATACTTTGTAAAGCCATTGATTCAAAATATATAAATTGTAAAGGCTGATATGTGGAATTCATTTATTCCGAATATAATAACAGAGAAACTAGTCAATTTGCAAAAAAATGTCCAAAACTAAAATAATTTTATATTCTACCTATGGAAGAGGGCCAAATAAATAAATCATTACATAGATATCCTAATTAATTAATAAATTATTAAATAAATAACAGAAAAGATGAATAATATTTTTAATTTCCTACGACGATTAATATAAATGTTGTGTAGGTTATATCAACTGAAGAAAGAATCACGCGTCAAGATTAAATTTTAATGTTCAATAATAATTTAGAAAAAAACATACTAAGTTGTAATAAGATTTCATATTAATCATAATCAAATATATATATATATATATATATATATATATATATATTATAATGTATAATATCATATACATAATATTATCAAATGATTTAGGATCTTAAAAATAAATGCATTGTGAATTTGTATATCCAAATGCTGTTTTGAACTATAACAAAATATTGCAGGTTATTGTAAAGCTATAAAATTATTCAATTGCGTATAAATTTTCAAATACTTCATATATTTCTCTCCTTGACTGAACACTTACAATTAGATATTATTTCCTGTAACACAATTGTCCGCGTCAACAACAATGTTGCCAGCGGTTTTCTTACATTAACAGGATAATAAAAATTAATTACATGGCGTTTATTTACGACTAGCTTCTCTGTAATAACTTAATTAAATCGCATTATTCTCCAAATAGTATCCATTATAATGTAAATGTATAAAATTCTATGAATCGTCGGCGATCTAAAAAGAATAATCGTCAATGGCTACAATTTATTAATAATTTTTCTCAACAGTTTAATAATCTGTTGGAAGAAACTGAATGGTTTTGCGAGATGCAATTATTGCCAAGTCGATTTCTTTTCCTTAATTTATTTTTCTTGGAAACGAAATGTGCGCACAAATGACATTATTTGTATTCCGAAGAAACTGTACATTTAACGGCCTCTTCTTTGCGACACGGAAGTCACCGGCGTTCGAGAAGAATTCTGGAACGGAATTAAAAATATGTTTTAACATCAAATAATAATGTATTTTTACGCATAATATTATTCTTTCAATTTTTGCTATAAATTAAGAATTTCTAAATAGGAAATACTAGGTACGATAGTGACAATCGTTATAACAGCTAAACTATACTGATTTTGAGAAAAAAATCCAAGGGGAGAAAGATCAAGTATGTTTGAACAAGTTCTCAGCTTTAAAAGAGTCAAAAGTAAGTTTTTCTGTTTGATTTTATTTGATAATAACTGTTACTTGTATACTTATAGATTACTTTGTTATTTTGCTATAAGTTGAACGTTAGTAGTTAATTGCCAGCAATTAGTTTTTATGTGACTAATTTAGCTCAATCATAACGATGAATGGTCTCCAAAAGTGTGCGTTGGGTACGATTGTGACAAATTTTGTGTCTAAGATTATGACACGTATTTTTTATCCTTTTCGGGTAATTAAACAGATAAAAAAATTTACTTACTTAAAACAAAATGCAAAAGAGAAAGGTAAAGAAAAATTCAATATAAGAAAAAAAAGATATTACAAAGATTTCTTATTAAATTTGAATAATTCAAAAAACATTTTATTTGTATTGACTAAATGAAGAACTGTTTAAATTTTTGGAAAGAAAGGTGCAACGACTTCGCAGATATGGAGGAAAAAGTAAAAAAATGAGCCATTTGGCGGTTAAAAATGAACATTAGACATATGCACATCAAATTATCAGATATTTTATAGAGATTTTAACAATAAGTATAAATTTTGTTTACATTCCTATGGGTTCCGTACCAATGTTTATCCGTTAAACGGCGACGCGGCGCTTACGCGCTTCGATATTTTGTCTCTATGCAGTTAAAGCAGTACGATTGCTTTGAAAAAAAGTTCAGAATTTCCAAAATATTTCAAAATAAATTTTTCTTCAAAAAGATTTTTTTCTCAAAAAAAGTAAATTTTTGTCAAAAATTTATGTTTTCTCAAAAATCTATTTTTTTTTCAGAGTAAATTTATTTCAAAAATGTAAATCTTTTTTTTTAAAAAAAAAAAAATGGTACGGGAAGTTCAAGCAATTTGCCTTAAGGCACGATGCCGTGCGCCCCACTAGTTTAAATGATTATGTTGTGTTGTGTTACATATTTCTGGCACTAAAAATCGTTTCTGATAAAAATTGTTAATTTAGTGTTTATATCTATTGTTTCTTAACCTATTTTTATGCCTGTCACAATGATGGCTGGGGGTGTTGACGGTTGTGAAACCTGCCCTTTTATTGTGTGATTTAATATTATGACTAATTCATCGTATTTAAAAACAATATTTTAGTAATTCCATGTAGACAAATACTGTGTTAATTGGTTAAAATCATATGATAAATAAATGAATCAATAAAATCATCATTAGCTACAAGTTGGCATTTGTACTCATTGATGAAATTGAATTTTATTTATATTTATTATTTATTAAGTATTAATATTCTCTTACCGTAGTGGAAATTTGTGGATTCGTCCCAGGCGTATTATTAAGTGCACCGTTGCTAGAGTTGCGGGTGAGGGGCCTCTGGGTGGAGTCGTGGCGGTCCGGTTGGGGCGTCGGTGCCTTCGCCGGCCGCTCTTTACTCGTGCTCCGAGCGCGCTCCTTGCTCGCGCTGCGGGATGAAGACTTCTCTTTTTTGTGGAACATTCCTGTAAGACGATTCTTCAGGTCGCGCTTGCTCGACCGATGGTCACCACCGACGCTCATATCAGAATCCGAGCCCTGATGCTGAAAATGGTAGAATGTAATTATAATTTGATACGATTTTTTTAAATAAACTTTGCCAATACATTTTTCATTAGTTTTGCCGTATACATATCCCCATATCGAAACTTGTTCCTCTACTTAAATAGACATATATGTTTATTGTATCATTTAGTATATTTAACTATGCGTTGGGATTAGTAGAGGATTCCATACTATGGACCGATATGACAAAGCTATGCAACGTTCCAGTTTTTATACAAAATATTTCTAAATACTGTCAAAATGGTATGTATTTGCTGTGCGATCAGGCGTTTTACGCATAAAATGCAACTTAACTCATATGTTATCAAGCCATATTTCAAAGATGCAGTTATGAAAACATTATTTTTTGACGTTTGTGCGGTTTTTAGGGTAGGTTTTCTATTATAGGTGTGAATCAAACCCGACCCCAGCGCGGTTCCGGTTCTTGGAATTTCGGGGTACCGGCAACATCTCCATAGTTGTAAGAAGCATTTCAAAGTCAAATTTTGTTCAATAATTAATTAACTTATTCGAATTAGAAAGTTAAAGCTCATTATAAAATCATTCTGAATTGTTACAGACCAAACTTGGCGTAAGTGGCATTTTGCCTTATGTAGGACTTTAGGTACTAAAATCTGAATACTGGTATTCGATATTTCAAATTTGGAACGCCGAGATACTGGTATTAATATTTAATATTTAAGAAAAATGAAAATAAAGTTAACAACTAATGTTTTATTTATTGAAATATTCTAATGAAATAAACAATCTATTGTTTCATCATCAAGCGATGACCGAATTTCAGAACAAATATAACCAGACGCTAAAAAAGCTCTTTCTCATTCTACACTTGTCGGCATAATTGTCGTTAAGAAATAATTACTCGATATGAATTAGTAATTGGTATAGTGAATTTTGGTTATAAGCAAATCATCATTAGATATGAATAATTCCGGGGAAGGATCTAGAAATATACGCATATGAAAAATATGTTCAATTAAATCAAAAACATGTATTCATAAAAATATATAATAAAAAAAATTGATTAAGAAAGTTAGTTCTTTAAAAAGAAAAGTTTGTTAATTGCAATTGAAGATTTAGTACTTAAAAAAGCGATAAATTTCAGCACAGTACACCATCTGTTGAATGCGTGAAACACTAAAACAGAGTAAAGCGTATTCGTTTTAAGTTTACCCCATTTGAGGTAATCTCTGGGTAATAAATTATGTTTATTGATCTATGTGTAGTAGTCTATATAATGCATAAAAAAAATTATTAATTATAATTATATTAAAAATCAAAGGGTTACAAAAAAAAAATTAAGAACAAAAGCAAAACACGTAGCTTGAAACGAATGTTTGTGACTGAATAAGAAAATAATAAAATGTGGGGACATAATAAAATACTGCTGCATCATTCACTATGTAAAAGGAATCCGGTGCCGGATTTTTTCCGGAAGCTATCCGGACTTTTCCAACCACGGTTTTCCCGGAGTCGGGTCTTTTTTTGAACCTCGTCCCCAGGTCTTGAAAATGACGGTTTTTGACATTTCTACTTTCTATCTAGAACGCCTGAACCACGTAGAATTTTGACAGTTTTTAGTAGCACTTTATATGAAAACTACTGCATAACATAGACTTACTCTAGTTTCCCTTCAGAGCGAATAAATCTTTCGCATTTTACTAAAGAATTCTATGGAGGGGAGCACTCAAATGAGTATATAACTCAATTTTATATAAGTCATTTAGTTTCTGTCTCAATTACAAAGCTTGCTTGATTCCCCATATACTCCCTGCATAAGATTGGTCTATTTTACGGCAGAATGGGTCCCTCATTTGTTTAAAAACTTTACAGCCAAAATTGTAAAATTTTAATTAATAAAGACAAAGTTTATTTATCTTCATTAGTTACATAACTTAATTACGTGTCAAAATAAGTAAATATACACATAAATTCATGGTTATTTGTTAATAAATTAAACATATATGTTTTCATCATACCTGAGAATTCATTGCTGATGACATACTATAATCTGATCCACCGTGGTCATCAATACTTCTAGATTTTGTCAATTGCTTCAATTTACCCATCAGACCTTTCTTCTTCTTTTTAGTTGTGGAAAGAACTTCACTTTGTGTTGAACCTCCAGATAACCTAGAATATAAATTAATAATTACCATATTCATTGCATCATAGTATCATGCATAATTGTATAAATAATTATATTTGTTTATTATTAAAATTAATATACTTTAGAGTAATAGAATATATTCGATGTTTGATGTTTTAACATTTATTGTATGATAAAGTTATCCTACCTGCTATCTAAACTATTATCGCGTCCATATCTATCATTGTCCAAACTTTGTAAGCTGGACATACTATCGCCATCTCCTCTCCAGATCGGAGCAGCTCCGCCTCCTTGATCTAGGGATAAGGATAACGATTTTCTATGCAAGCCACCATTGTGACCTCTTGAGGAACGGCCAGATCCTGCTGTCCGACTACTTGGTGCATCACTATCATGTTCCGTCGACGCAGCTCTAAAAACCAAGAAAAGTTGAAAACAGAACAATATGCAATAACGATAGTTTAAAAACTTTTACCTTCTATTTCCTAAAGTCCGCCTAGCCCTATCTCTCTCGCGCTCTTCTTCGCTCATTTTTTGGAATCGACGAAGTTGCTCTGATGCTTCTGCCAAACGTGCGAGGATACTGGTTAATTGATCGGTATCGTTACGTGGTGGCGATTCGTCTCGAGACTAAAGAAAAAATACATTGTCAGCTCTTGTATCGTTGTACCGCATATTTCAGTTTGATAATAAGTAACAAGAGATAATTCACAAACTTATCCTGGTGGTATTTATATACTCCCTCTTACCTGGTATACTTTTGATGCAGGTGCATTGTTCACCTGCGCCGGTTGTTTTAATTTACTAGGAGCAATGCGGACTAGTTGGTCGACCTGCTCCAGAAGAGCACCAACTCTCCTTTCTCCATCTTGCTCCTGTCTTCGTCTTGAACCAGCTGCTGCGCGCAATTCCTCGCGTTCCCTTTCGTGTCGCTCTTTTTCGCGTCGTAATTTCTCGTTTGCCGTCCGCAATTTCGCATGAGCGTCCCGCAATTCCAATAGATCACATTGTAATTCAGTCACCTAAAGTAAGAATCAATATTAAAAAAATCTTAACATTTTAACTATGGATATTAACATTTGTATATACCTTTACGTTTAAAAACCATTTGAATATTTTAGCATACCTTAGAAAATATGGATGTATGTGTGTGTGTATGCAGTATGTATGTGTGTATGCAGTATGTATGTGTGTATGTTTGAATACAATTTTTTGTTCACGATTTCGAGAGCACAGATCAACCGATTCCAATGATTTGAAAAAAATCGATTACTATTGATGGGTGGACGTGATGATTAATTTTTGGCAAAGGCGGTCTATTTATTTTGAGATTACGGAGCATCCGATTTGAATGATTCAAAAAACATATCACTTCTATTGACCTAATACAAAATTGATTAAATTTTTGGAAAAACAATAATAATAATAAAATCTATATGAATTGCTTCAAACCAATTCCAGAATTATAAAAAATAATGTAACTAGTTGGTATTGGTATTTAGCCTTGAGGCAAGTTACATGAACTTCCCAATATGTGTAAATAATCGACTTAATCAATAATAAACAAATTAATTTATGAGTGATTAAAAGTATTCTGAGTGGATTTATTACACATCATTGAGAACGAACAGAAACGTTAACTAGGAGTATTTTCTGAAAGCAAATGTTCACAAATCAATAATTTTTATAATTGAACCAGTTTTCGTAGGACGGTAATGGTTTAGTATGTTCATTAAGACCAAGTAATCTATCGTTATACCAAGTAAATCATCTAATTTTAGTTTTAACAAACGTCAAAAAAACTACTCATTTTCTCAAACTTTGATGAATTTTTAAAATTAAATTACTTGTTGTAAGGTCGTAATATTTCAGTAAGTTCTATAAGACCATGATATATTTCGCCAAAAAAAAGTTCCATGAAAATCGGCTTAATTTTTTTTTCAACAGTTAATTACAAGAAAACGGTTAGGTAGATTTTCACCTAAAACTAGTCAGTATTATTCCCAACTAATATCTTTCGAACAGTTTTTGATTTTTTAAAATCGATTCGGTAGAATGAGCTTAAATGTGGACGAAAAGTTTAACATTCTTTTCTAAAATACAAAGAAACGGCTCAGGAGATCGTCTCACAAAACTGACAAATAATAGTCCTCACCGAGATACATCGAATGGCTTTTAAATTTTTGAAATCGGTCCAGCCGTTTTTGAGAAAACGTCGGTTTACGGCAAAAAATCTGTTCACATACACGCACACACATACACACATACATTTTCCAAATTTGGTCTCATTCGATTCAGAATGGCTTGAAACGTCGAGAAAACATAAAATTAGCGAATCGGATTTTTTGATGAAAACATAAACTTCTCCTTCGGGAAGTTAATAAAACAGTAATAAAAAATATAGATAGTCACATGATTTTTTGTGAAAATAATTTGCGAAATATGTCTATAAAAATATCAGAGATTATTGAAATCAATAACGTGAAAATAATATTAAAATTCAATAAAAAAAACAGATTTAAAAAAAATGAATTGATATCAAAAATAAATAATTGCTTATCATATAATAATGTTAACTATTCACATTTATTTAGTTAGAAATTACTTGTTGCCAAACTAAATATTTTTAATTAAATATTTAATAGCAATAAAGAACATTACCTTTCTCTTATTTTCTTCCTGCTCTTCTTCAGTACCACGCTGCAATTGTTCCTGACGTCTCTTAGCTTCCAAACGTTCTTTATCTCTTTCTCGTTCAACCTAAAATAATAATAATTTTAATCTTTTTTTGATAAATATATTTATAAAAGAAAATTAAGCATACTTCAAAAAGTGTTTGTCTCAAATCTCTAGCTAATTTTGAAGTTTCTTGTAATAATCGCTGTTGCTCCTCACGTTCCTTATGCCAAGCTAATTCCATACGGGTTCGAGTTCCCGTGAGTCTGGTACGGCCACTTGCCAGCAGACGTTCTTCTTCCAACTACAAAAAATATTTAAAATATAAAAAATCACATGCACATATATTTAAGTAGTTTCTTTTTATTAATTATTTAGGATGTTCAAATTTGTATAATAAAATTATACCTTACGTTCGAAAAATATAATTAGAAAATAGTATAATTAGAATCTAAGAAACCGATTCTGCCGCATAATAGAAAAATGTTTTGGCAAGACCATGTTACGCTCCAACTTCCATACACTATGCTACTGAATCATACTGAATACTGTCCAAATGTCAAGTATTTGCTGTGCATTCAGGAGTTTTGCACATAAACGTCACTCGTTTGTTATGGAGCTGTGTCAGAAACACCCTGTTATCTGAGATCGGTTTTTTGACATTTGTGCGGTTTCTATGTTAGGTTCTCTATCGGACAACCTGAGAAATACGCCTGACTGCACACCAACCACATAGCTTTGCCAATATTTAGTATGAAAAGTTCTTCACAACATGGCATTGCCATAACATTGTTCTGTTATGCGGCAGAATCGGTCTCTAAATCTTTTTTTCGTTTTAAAGTTGTACACTGTTTTGATATGGATTTCAAAATTCAATTTGTTAACTTCTATGGGCCGATTTTTTGTTTCAAATAAAAAAAAATAATGACACAAAAAATCAGTAATTATAAACCTATAAATCCAAAAAAAAGGTGTAAACGATTTTATTGTATTATATTAAGTATGTAACCTTCAAGTTACACCGACCTATAGTGTTCGCCCTGTAAAGCGCGGAACATCGCAAAACAGTTTGCAATTGACGTCAAACATAAACATACATTAAATTTAGACTTCAGAGCATTGCAATTTCAAAACATCTTTGCATCCGGGCTTTTTGCAGCGTCTTTTCGCACAACTTTTACAGGTGACGTTGTATTTAGCTATTTTCGATTATAAAATTGTTTATATACCTTACATGAACACCCTTGTTCCTTTTAATCTCTATCAATATTATTTATTTCTCTTTGGAGATATACTATTAAGGGGTTACATGGGTTTCCTCGGGCAAAAAACGGCATTTTTTCAATAATGTTTTTACATATAAAAAATGAAATATTTTAATGATTTTTTTTTTATTTAAAAGATACATATCTAATAAGCATTTTGTAAAATTTTCAAAAAAATATCAAATTGGCGGTCATCACGACGCCATTTCCGCCAAAAAAGGTGCCTCCGCGTTGTCAGCAGAACTTCTTTCAGGATCATCCGAAATAAAAATAAAAAATACGTGTTTTAGTAAAGACAATAAACTAGGCATTGGACAAAGGAAAAAACAAAATAATAATAATTGGATTTTTGGCAAACGCTTTTATAAAAAAATGCAAATTTCGATAAAAATTTCTCGACATTTCTTTTTTTAAATAGTTGCAATTAAAAAAAAGAATATCTTTCGTTCAAGACCTTGTAAATGATATCTTGAAGGCCTGTGTAATATTTCATCAAGATCGGTTGAGTAGTTCGCGAAAAATCTTGACAACCCTCTTTGAATATAATTTAAAAAAAACGCGTTTAAAGTTTTAAGAGACAATAAAAGTAGACCTCGAGCGTCCATCTTTTCAAGGCGGTATCCCCAAAACTATTAGTCAAATCAACTTCAAAATTTAGAACAATATTCTAAAGATGTTATAAAATTTAATAGGACAAAATAATTCAATCATTATTTTTTTCGATTTTTTGAAACCGTGAAAACCATGTAACGTATAAAATTGATAACAATAAAAAGCAGAAGCTTTATTGTAAATGAACAGAAATCTGCCATGATGGGCCGCTGTGACCTCCATGACTATAACATCTATAATAAAGAGAATAGTACCAAACCAGAAATTCAAATGCAAAGAAATAAGTCGATATTTATTTAGGATCCTGGAGCTATTATGTGCAATATTTTCAGTTTCTTAATTACTATCAGAAATACAAGTAGTATCACTTCGAACTGATTGATTCAATTATCTGTATCAGTTTGCGCAGCAATTACTTTGTTGTAATTTTAAGTTGAAGAGCCGAGCATATATCATAAATATTGATATTGGTCTTAACAATGTTATGAATTTAGGATTTATTCATTATCTTTCAAAAAGAATCATAATTATTTGAGAAAATATCGATAAATTGGAATGTGACCTGCAAGTTGCATGGGCCTATAAAAGGTAAATTAAGTTCTAGTAATTTATTATATGACACAATGTCGTAAACTACTAGTTAATTATACACTTATAATAATCTTACTTCATTGACTTTAGATTGCATTTCAGCAAGCTTAATCTCCCAAGTGCTGCGTTCAGACACAAGTTCAGTATTTACTCGAGAGGCTTCCAGTCGGGCTTCGCAAAGTTCATCCTCTAAGCTATTTACTTGCTGTTCTAGCATTGCCACACGCAATTTACCATCTTCCTGTAATAAAAATAAGCTAAAATGTAAATACAATTATTTCTATGCATTGTTCCGTAAATTTTTGCCATTTGGAAGGCTTTCATATATAAGCAAGCTTTTGGACCAAGCACTAACAAATCTACTATGTCATTGAATTTGATTCCACACTTGACTACTAGTAGAGTTTCAATTCTATTATTCTGCAAATGTAATTGGGTTTTGCTTATTTCAGCACTCACATCATCACTGGTAGCAGAGTTTCGACTTTGTCTGCCGCTTTGTCCTCCACTTTTTAGTTCAGCAATAGTTCCTTGGGCAGTGTCCAACATTTGTTTGTAAGTATCGCGTTCTCTTCTAAAACGAGCAACTTGCTGCTGAACAGATTGCATTTCTTCATTTAGTGTTGTGATTTGACCATCATATCGAAGCTTGCAAGCTGCTACATCGGTTTTCCGAGCACGCTCTGCTTGATCCAATCTAAGTAAAAGATGGTTAATACTTGGTATAGAATACTGTTATATTTTATTATATTTTACTATTTTTCGTAAATGAAACTAGTAAATAAAAATATATATGCTCACTTTAATCTTAGAGATTTCAATTCCAGTTCCATGGCTGATGAATCGGCGTTCATGTTCCTCTGAATTTTGTTTACTTTTTCATAATCTTCCATTTTTGTCTTAAGATCATCATTCTGTATTAAAGTAAATATTTTATTATCGAAGTTATAATGATCACAGTAAAATTGGGTATTAATGCATTAACTACAGATGATGCAACGTTGAATTTCAAACTACATATAGACATATATTTTGTCTGCATGTTGTTATGTACCATATTTCAAGATTGATATAAAGAAAAACAGATGTAATGAAATCAATGCACTTGAATATCAAAATATACACCATCATTCCGAATACAGTATATTTTATTTTAATCTTATTATAATGCATATTCATATTAAAACATTAAAATGTAGTTCTACAACTTTTAAGGATCGAGCGTATTTTCTGAAACAAAAAATAATAGAGCGATCTAAATAGTAGAGCAACGGATTTTAGAAAATTATGATTGAACTGGAATAAAAAGTTCCATCATATTAATTTTAAGATACCGTTCTCATACTAAAATTTATAAAATGTGTCAAAACGTTTTTTAATATTTTTTCATTCATTTGTGCAAATTGTCTACTTTGTCCATTTTTGTCCACTAGCTTGTCTAGTTTACATAATATTTAGCTTTTTTATCATAATATAAACTAAGTTGTCTACAAAATGTAGCTAAGATATAAATTTATTTAATATTTAGTGTCCCAGCAACTTTTGGCAATATTTTGCAGCATTTATAAGTAAGTTATATATTATGCAGATTATAATTAATATAAAATATTTATATTAGTCTATAGTAGTTAAATTAAAATGATTACCTCTTTTCTCATATATTCCAGTTGGTCCCGTTGCATATCGCATTCTTTGCGAGCCTGCACTAATTCTTCTGTCTTATCTTGTAACGATGCCTTTAAACGCGCCCTCTCAAGTTCTATAGAGGTTCCTTTAGCTAATTTTTCAGTTTGATCCTTAACTCGTGCTGTCAATTCTGCAATATTTTTTTCCAGGGATTGTTTTTCCCTATTCCACGATGCTTGCTTATCACGTAACGATGACAATTCTGCAAATGACGAGGAATTGCTGTTCTTTTGACTGAAAAAAGATAGATCATAATTTTTTTCTGATAATACACTTATGTTGCATTGTTCAATTTTTTTGGTAAATAAATAATAGCTAATAAAAATATAAGTTATTACAGTCTACCTTTTTAATGCTTCTTTCTCCATGGTCAACTCAGCTTTAGTTACTACATGTTCTTCTTCCAAGACTTCATATTTAGCAGTTAAATTTTCATATTCTTTCATTTTCTCATTGAGTTCTGCTTGTAGTTCTATAAATATAAAAAAAATTATTAAATTTTGTCAATATAAGTTTTGAACATATGATTAATTAAAGCGTTTAACATACTGTTAGCTTTCTCTTCAAGTTCTTGAACTTTTCTGGACGTTCCAGCAGTGCTTGCTTTAGCGGCTGCTGCCGCTACTTCCTTTTCGTGACTTATTTTTAACTGGTCCATTTGCTTCTTCGCGGCCTAAAAATAGGATAGATATACATAAAAATGTATAATTTAAAGCACGAATATATTTGTAAATGGTAATTGTAACCCACCTGTAATTCACTTTCTAAGGAACTGACTTTACTTTCTAATTTTTCTTTATCTTTACGCGTTTGAATAAGCTCCGACGACGGTGTAGTTGTCGCTTTAGTAGCTTTCTCTTTTTCTTGTTTGAGGTTCATTTCCAAAGTTTTAATTTTAGACTCCAACAATGATTTCTGACTGGTTATGTCTTTTTCGGATGCCTGCAACTTTTTATTTTGTTCCGTTTGTTCCGCTAGTTTTCGTTCCAATTTTGCCAAAGATTCTGCATTCGTAGTGAGCAATTTTTCTTTAAGATGCAATGTCTCTTCCACGGACTTAATTTTCTTTTCTAAATCTTGTATTTTTGAGTTTTGTTTAGTAGATTGCGTTGATGCTTCATCACGTTTACGTTCTGTTTGTTCTAAAAAAACAATAGAGATAAAATAATTATTATTAAAATGTCATGATTAGTTTCTGTTTGTTCTAAATAAATATAATCTTTATTATAAAATTTTAAATGTTTATTATGTAAAATTGTAAAATAACTTATAAAAAAATATTGTGCATGCACCTAGGGATGTTTGAGCTTTTTTCAGTTCTTCCTTAAGATTTTTCACTTCCGCAGCTAATTTACTTTTATCAGATTCTAAAGAAGTAACTTTACTAGCTCCACTGTTTTTCAGCTTCACCATCAACTCGGCAATTTCTGACTCGAGTTCATCGACCATTTTGCGCATTTGTAGTTTTGTAGTTGTGTCCGTTGGCCTTTTAGGAGTTCTTTTGGGAAATGCTTTGACAGCTTCATCTTTCAACTCAGTCAGCTTGGCTTCAAGAGAATCTCTCTCTGTTTCTACTTTAGACAACGTTTGCTTCAATTTTAGTAGTTCTTCTTCTTTTTGCTTCACTAGCTCCCGCTCAGCTTTTAACTTATCATCATTCTAAAAAATGTCGCATTATATAATTGATTTATAAGAATGGTAATTTAAAATCAAAATAAGCGTTAAATATTATTATAAAATTGCAATTAAAATTACCTTATCGGAAGCAAGAGATGAATTCGACGAATTTGATTCACGTCGGGCATTTCTTAATGCTTGCATTTCTAATTTCTTATTTTCTGCTCCAATTCGCTCGTTTTCAGCTTCCAAAGCCTGAGTGCGTTGTCGGAGTACTGTGGCTTCCTGCTCCACTACTTGAAGTTGTCTTCGTAGATCCAACGCTTGCTGCTCTGATCCACTATCAACCGACCTAATAAATTAATTTTTTTTATTATTTTCAAAAAATAATAATAGAAATAAATCTATTTTACAATTATAAAAAAAATAATCAATTCACTCACTTTGCTTTTGACAATGGTCCTTTAGGTTTTCGCTGTGCTAGAGTTAACTCTGCATGGAGTCGCTCATAGTCCCGCTCTTTTTCAATTAATTTTTTCCTAAGTTCTTTTGCTTCATCTTCTAGAACCTAAATAAAATAATTCTTATAATCTGAGCTCTAAATATTTAATATATTTTTGTGTGGAATTAAAATAGAAATATATGAGCCAAAAATATTTTAAATGTAAATTGTTTGTAAAAAGTGAAAAAAAAAAATCTCTACTGAGCATAATTTGAAAAAAAAAAACAAAATTAAACTACTGTATGAAGAAGATTGAATGAATCTACTGAAGGAAACAAGCATATTGCGCATAGTAGGTGGGTTGGTAAAAAAAATATGAATAAAAGAAGTGTTTGAAAAGTGAATTTTGCAAATACACCATTAATCAATATGCTTGTCTCAATAAAATGATTTATTCAAAAATAAAATAAGTACCTTAATTTTTTGTTCCGATAGCGTCGTAGCCTTTCCGGTGCTCGGTAATATTTTTTTGGGTGCACTTTTCAATGCCAACCTTTCTGTTAACTCCTTAACTTGTCTTTTAGCAGTTTCACTTTCAGTCATTAATTCTTCAACTTTTCTTCTTAAAACAGAAGCTTCCTAAAAATCAACAACAATTAGAATAATACCAGATATAAAATAAATCATTTTATTACCTGTTCATTTAGTTCTAACTGTAAGCGCAATTCCGCAGGATCTTCTTCCTCAGAAATCCCTTCATCTTTTTCAAGAGGTGGCTCGGGTGTCAATCGAGACGGTGGAGTTGGACTTAACTTTCTACCTGTAATACAAAAAAAAATATTTTTCAATATAAAATATTTATTTAGTGCTAACTATTTAAAAAACATTTCAATTGTTAGTAATTTTTAACTAACCAAACAAAAATAAAAATGCTTGCATAGATCTAATGCTAATATATTAACATATCGTTAAAGCCAAATCACATGAAATCCAAACTTGCAAACCTAGCCATAAGTATATCAAACTGTTATATACACATGTTAGTAAAAAACACTATCAACGTATGAAGGCATCAAGCACACAAAACACAGTCGAAACGGTAGAAAATGGCACAAGACCAGCTGTTAAAAAAAACAAATTAATCAAGAATATCAAATCGATGATGAGACAATCACTTCATCGATAATCATAATTATTAACACCCAATAAGTAAGATAAATATTTTTGGACGTACTCCTGGCCTTTGTAGCCATTTTCTTCAACTGCATGACCAATGATTCGTTGTCGTCTTCTACCCGTGATGCCTTCTTACGCAAACTCTGTGCCTGAAAATATAATTACTTGGTTCCTTAATAGTTATTTTGGTGAAACATGTATTTGAAGCTTTCAACAACGAACATATTAAAATTATGTTAATCTACATCATGTTATCGCATTTGTGTTTCAAAAAGAGTAATTGTGAATGCCAAAGTATGGCCAAAATACTTAGGTTCTTGTCGGGTTATTTTATTCTCATAATGTATAATGCGTGTTCCATTATACCTAAAATATTAAATTATTCGGCTAAATATAATAAATTGTTTGATAAAATAACTGTTTGTGAAACAAAATTGTTCACTGTCGAAGCACCTTAATACTTTGTCAGTGGAATATTGAAACCAGGATTAATTACATATATAAATTTTAATTTTGTACAACAAATGCGATCACACGATTTTCACATCAACATCACGAGAAACTCTGATACAGTGTAGCACATTCCTGTGGCAATCTATCACCTGATTGAATAAGAAAGTCACTAGTTGACGATAACAAACTGCTTGTCACAAATATCGTGGATAATACAAATTGATCTATTCTGAAAAACGGAAACAAGGAAAGGAAAAGTGTTAAAAAATAATTTTTCAATGAACTACCAAATAAATCTATTATGATTAATATTTAAAATCTCATCTCGTAGTGCAGTTCATACTCATATGTGGCGAATTGATCGATCAATTTGGGTTTCGAAATTTATCAAAATTCGAAATATTATCAGTTTGGAGTTCGACTTCGGTCATTTCGTTGCATATTTATATACCATTTTAAAAAAATTTATATTATAATTTTAATGTACAAACAACTTGTAAATAAGACTGATTAGAATAATTATAAATTAAAAAGATTATACCTCTTCTTCGGCAAATCTAAGCTGTTCTCGTAAGTCAGCTTCGCGTTCTAAAGAATCCTGTAAGTCTCGAAGTAATTGAACTGGATCTTCTTGTGAACCACCACGTGTCAACGATTCTCTGGACACTTTCTAAAAATTTTATAAAAATTTGAGTTAAAATAAATTATTCAACAAAGTAAAAAAATATGGATTAGGATAAATAAAATATTTGACTTCAAGTACAATATATCTGCTAATAAATTATTAGCAAAAATTCTTAACTTAATGATACATGAGTAATATTAAATTTATAATATATATTTATCCTAAGTAAACTTACACCTTCAGCTGATGCTGACTTTCCAATATTGCCAAGCATAGGTGGTTTCTTTTTAGTTTTACCCACATCTGCTTCTTCTTGCAACCGCCTTGCAACTTCGTTTGCAACATTTAATTCTTGTTCCAGTTGTCGAACTCTTTGAGCAAGATCCACACCTTAATTGACAATAGTTTTATTGCATTTTATTTGTTTTATATTGTTATTAATTAAATTACAAATATTTATAAATTTCATGTGATAAAATAATTTTACCATCCGTCGTGTTTCCTTGTCTTTCGGCCTCCAGCTGCTCTGTTCTACGTTCTGCTTTTCTAAGTTTGAAGGAAAGTATGCGGCAATTTTTTGTGGTCTGCTCAAGCTCCTTTTTAAGAGATGTGTATTCATCTGCTTGCTCTTCTCTAAACAATTCATAAAAAAATATTGTTAAAAATTGTATTTTCATAAATCCAAAAAGAATAAAAGAAATTTAAATGCTCCCAAATGGTTTTCCTGGACTATATGGATATACTAAGTGTATTTAAAAATCTAAATACCTGAAGTTATCTTGCAGTTCTTCAATCTCATCCTCCAGACTTCTTAATTCGCGTTTCATCTCCTCATTTTCATCCATTAGCTCTTCGCAAAGATTTTCGGCCGCCGTCAATTTGTCCTGCAGCTCCTGCTCCGTTCGAGCCGTCGGCCTCGACTCGATTTCTCTTTCCAAATCTTTGATACGTTGCTCTTGTTTCTTCTGCGTTTTAATCAAATCTTCATTTTTCTCGCACAACTCGTTGGCTTTTTGTTGCAGGGACAAAAGCTAAAATTAAATTGGAATGATATTTATGATTAATAGATAATTAAATGGTTTCTTTAAGAATATCTAGTTTTTATATGGAAGATTAACCTCGGTTCGCATTCTGCTAAATTTTTCATTGCTGTTTTTGTTTTTAGAAATTATTTATTTTCAGAACAAATTTTCAGTAATTTATTAAAAAAATTTATGATAACAATATTTTAAGCATATAATAAGTTTACAATTACACCATTTAACTACCCTTGAAATAAAGTTGGCAATAAATCAATTTTGCAACAAGAAGAATTTAAAAACAATGCTTACAAAAATTATCGTTGTTCAGTATTTAGTAATATCGAAGTTATATTAGTAACTAGCAAACCCGATGGTTTCGTGAAAAAGATGAAGAAATTTTTTGTTTGTTTTATATTTGAAAAGGAAAAATTTGATCAGGAAGGAAACCCCGACTTATTTATATATATATATATATATATATATATATATATATAGAAGATAATCTATTTGCAATTATTTAAAACAATTATTGATTATTTTTATTACTCAAATTTTTAATTACGGTGCGTGAAGTTCCAGCAATTTGCATTAGGGCATGATGCCATGCAGAGCCCGAGACCTTTCCAAAGAATGCAAAATTGTCGAAATCGGTTCGTGCGTTCTGGAGTTATTTCGTCAGGAAGGAAAACCCGACTTATTTTTATATATGTATATAGAAGAATACTGAAAATATTATTTGCAATAATTATTCAATGTTTACACAGATCCACAAAAATAAAAAAATGTTTGTATCAGGTGTGAGAGATATGTCTCTCAATGCAGTTTTTAACGCTTCACACGAATTTAAAGTCAAAATTGGGGATCAAATTATAAAATATAGAAAAAAATTAAAAAAATCGACAAAAACCGGTGTAGTAATTCTTCTGCATCATAATTAAAATCTTAGATTGTCTCCTGTTTCCTGGTCGTATATAAATTGAATGACTATTAAGTTTCATTTAAATGATCTATTAAGTTTTTTTGGATTATTCATAAGTAATTTGCAAACATGTTTAATCTCCATTGCCCCTGGGTAATCTGCAAACATGTTTGCAATTGAATATCCGGAAATATGTTTGCAAATTACTGCTGTATTTAAAAAAACAATTAATAAATGCATTATAACTTAATAATAACGCAATATAGTCATTTATGCCCATAAATTATTTGCCGGAACAACGTTCCGGTTCGACAACACTACTGGTTCCGGTGTGATTATATTGTTTATATTAATATAGATAACTATTTAAGGGGGTATTCTACTGTGGAAGCATGAATTTTGCCCGGTTTTTGAAGCCCTGTATAAAGGAAACAAATAATATTTTTACTATCGATTTTTTTATCATTTGTTTATTGATATTTTATTATTACATAAAAAAATTATTAAAGAAAAAAAATTAGAATTCACAAAGTTATGAGCAGTCAAAGTGGGGACTCAAAAAAAAAGAGGGTGTCCTGGCGTGCATGATTCCAACCCTCCTGGTGATCCGAAACATAAAAAATAGATGGATTCTTAATTATTATAGATGCCGCTATCGTATGAACCTTGGATAAGTTAAAAAAAATTTTTGTTTGAATGGCGGCAGTTTGAAAAAAATTTTTTTTTCATGTTTTTTTTTAACAATTCCGAATTTTTTAAAAATACTAAATGAAAAGTTTTAGTTTTTGGAAAGGTCCATGCGATAAAACGATGTATAGAGAAGATCCTCTTCAAATTTGAAGTAAATCGGTTCACTAAAACGGATATAACTACGCGTCACTAAAACGGATATAACTCAGGAAATAATAGTAATTTTGAAAAATCCTTTTAATGACATATTTTTGAATAACTATACTTTGAAAATATGAAAAAAAAAATTTTTCGATTTTTTCAAAATTCTACAGTAGAATACCCCCTTAAACAATTTAGTAATCACAAAAATTGTTACTCTTTATCAAATATTGATAAATCGTAGAAGAAATAAAAATTTATAATATTTGAAATTAGTCGATAAAAATAACTCAACCCAAAATTGTATGATAAATCAATATTATATCACCCGTCAAAAATGACGCTCATGCACATTGCTGCTTTCTGCAAAAACCTGCGAAACATTATAATTATGTTAAGATTATGCAGGACGGTTTACATCTCTAATCGAGACAAAAAATATTTTAATATCGTACAAAAAAGTATTAAACAGGGCCTGTTAATAATTACCCATGTTACAGATAGATCCTAGTTCCCCTACTTCTACCATTAAATCAAATAGTAAAGATACTTAAATTCATGAAATATCACTAAAAAAATTATTTGTCGTATACATAAGGTAATTTATCTTATATTCATTTATACGTTCTTTTTGTCATATTTTACTTGGTGTTAAAAAATACTTGAAACATGTATTATATTTTTCTGGAGCTTTTAAAAGCTATGTAATAAAATAAATGAATTGTAATAGCCAAGTAATAGCTTACTTATTAACTAGTTAAAGTACTGATGCAGATTTATATTATTATTGTGATATCGAGCTATGAAAGATTAAAATAGACAAAATGGTTTACCTCAGAAGCGGACGTCCGGCTAGGTGTTGTGTCGAGGGCCGCGACTCTTCGGAGCAACGCGTCACTTTTGAAGCGTTCGGCACGGTCGCAGCGCTTTCTCAAATGCTCGATCTGCTCCTGGGCAACTTTCAATTCCTGTCTTAATTCACTCTCAACAGACGAAGAACTATTTGTTTCCGAGTTCTTTTTGCTATCGCTGGTCGGTTTGACCTACAAAGAATAATAAATCGCACAGTAACTTCTATCCATCCATAAATCCTAGTAAATTTTAAGTACGGTAAAACAGAGCTCAACGATCCGCGAGTAAAAATGTGGACCTCAATATTTCAAAGAGCAAAGTTAGGAATTTTTTAACAACAATATTTGAAAGCAGAAAAAAAAGATGTGTAATCAGCCATCGTCTCAAATCAAACAACATCGCTGTTAAGAGATACATTTATTTATTTGATTATTTATTTATTTATTTATAAATATTAATTTATAATAAATATTATTTCAGACTTGTAAACGACCATGTTTTAAGTTTTTCAACTTCCCGAAGGAGAAGTTTATGTTTTCATCAAAAAATCCGATTTGCTAATTTTATGTTTTCTCGACGTTTCAAGCCATTCTGAATCAAATGAGACTAAATTTGGAAAAAGTATGTGTGTGTGCATGTGAACAGATTTTTTTTCCGTAAATCGACGTTTTCTCAAAAACGGCTGGATCGATTTCAACAATTTAAAAGCCATTTGAGGTATTTCGATGAGGACTAGCGTTTATCAATTTTGCGCGACGATCAGCCAAGCCGTTTCTTTGTAAATAGCAAAAAAGTAAAAAATTTTTCGCCCACGTTTTAGCCCTCAATTCTGAATCGATTTTGGAAATTCAAAAACTGTTCGAAAGATATTGGTTGGGAAACGTACTGATTAGTTTTTGCTAAAGATAGTCCGGGCCGTTTTCTTGTAATAAAGTGTTAAAAAAATGTTTTTCGACGATTTTCATGATTTTTTTTTGACGATAGATAGCATAGCCTTATAAATCATACTAAAATATAAAGGCCCTATGACAAGTCGTTTAATTCTAAAAATTCGTCGAAGTTTGCAAAAATTAGTATCGTTTTTTTTTTGTTTATCAAAATTAGTACTTTCATCGACTTTGCTTAAAAAAGGCCTGAACCGATTTTGAAAATTTCAAAACTTCGATATTTTTCGATGTGGATTATCTTTTATCAGTTTTGTGCAATCATCGGCTGAGGCGTTTCTTTGTAAATAGCAGAAAATTGAAAAATTTTTCGTCAACATTTTAGCTCTCAATTTTGAATCTATTTTAAAAAATAAACTTTTCGAAAGATATTAATTGAGAATGATACTGATTAGTTTTAGGTAAAAATCTACCGAGCCGTTTTCTTAAAATTAACCGATGAAAAAAAAATTTTGGCAATTTTTATGAAGCTTTTTTGGCAATAGATATCATGGTCTTATAAAACATACTAAAATGTTACGGCCCTACGACAAATTATTGTTAAAAATTCATCAAAGTTTGAGAAAATATTATGGTCAAAATTTGTGTCAAAAGTTGCTTTCGTGATGTGATGAGTCAAACATTATCAATTCATTAAAATTTAAAATAATAAGCTGCAATTTTAGATTTCAGTATAATTAATAAAATGTGGGGATCAAAGAAGCCATGGTTTTTGGATAAAAACAATTATTCATGTCATGACATTTTTATAGTTTTGAAATCATAATTTTTATTTCAATATTTATAAAACATAAAAATCTTTAAACTTCAGTGTGTTTATTGACTTTAACAACAGACTTGGACAAAAGATTATCCTTTTTGACAACAAGTTTATGATCATCAGCAATTTTGGATTCTTGGATCTTGGAAACTTCATTAATTTTATTTTCTCTAACGCCAGAGTTGAAATACTTCAAGATATCATCCGGTTTACTGTTGCTGACCACTTTATTCACATCAGATTTTAGACGAGCCCAATTATTGTATACATCAAGTTTGTGATCATCGGTAATCTTGTTGCTGAAAAATCTATTGTTATCATTGTCTCCTATGTGAGTCTCACTGGAAGGCTTTAATAAAAGTTCATCCATTTTGCTGCTATTTGTTGGTTGAAGAGCCAAATCATTGTCATTAAGTTTGCTATAATCAATTGTTTTGGTTTCATCGTTGTTAAACAATTCACTATTTTTGTTGTCAATTGGATTGTCATTATCAAGTTTACCATCATCAGTAACCTTGGCCAAGTCATCCTCAACATTAAAAAATTCACTATTGACATTATCTTTTACTTGAGCATCACTATCGTCAGTGTTGGATGATTTAAGCCATCTAGAATCTGTTTTGTTGGAATCGAATTCTTTATACATGTCCGATGGCAAAAGTGATTGGTATTCTTTGGAGAGCAATTTGGCGCTGATTTTGAGTTTTATCTCACTTTCAAGATCCAGACTTCTTTTGGACACATTTTTGGGATCATCTTCACCATAATCTCTCTTCTTTCTGGTGTTGGCATCGAAGCCAAAGGGATGAGCGTAATCAAACCTGGCAATCTGTTCCGATGTTAAATCCTGGTCTTCAACATGCACATGATGGTGATGAATTAAATTGTAAAGATCTCTTTCATACTTAGTTTGATCGTACCCAATAGGATCCTCTTTTGGGAATATGCTACCATGCTTTTTCGGGTACGGTCTAGGGATTCTGCCAGTCCGAGAGAGTATTATCTGCCCTATACCTTCGCCTGACAAGTTTTCCCTCGAATGATAGTCCTCTGATTCTGGCATCGATTTTATAAGCTGTAGTCTTCGTTTCACGTGCATTTCTTCAAACGCTTCACGTTTCTTTCGAAGGGTCTCCATATATTCCTCCTTTGTTTGGAATTGAAAAGGGATTCTGATGGGAGTGGCGACCAATTCGGGATCCATGGTTTTTGCAGCATCTCGAATCCACTTGAAAACTACACTTGCCTGTTTAACATGGTTGATGAAAGTTTGTAACCTTCGACTTGGTTGCTCATCCTCGACCTCAAAAACTCGATGGTTCAAAGTGAGCACGAAGAAACTGATTAATAAAAATACTAATGCAATTTTAGCCAGTTTGCAAATTTTGTTGATTTAAATTATTTGAAAGTAACTGTTATATAAAAATACTAAAAACTTAAATAAATGGAAATGAAAAATACGGTCTGAAAATATTTATCTAAAAAAATATGACATGAATAATTATTTTTATCCAAAAACCAAGGCCTCTTTGATCCCCACAATAATAACAGATTTTAATGTGTTTGAGAAAATTCTATTTGAAATTGCAATGTTTTAAGATTTAACGATAACTTTATTTTCGAAATAAATAGTTAAAAGCTTTATCTGAATATCTAAATTACAATTTTGGAAGATTGAGTCAATTATTACACATTTTGGGAAGTTCGCGCAACTTGCCTCAAGGCTAAATGCCACTTTCAACTAGTTTTTTTGTTGTAAACACTATTGTTTTGATAACGAGGGCATAGAATATTTTTTTAGTATATGTTATTTAATTATTCTAATAGGCGTATTGTTAATTTTAAGTTAGATTCAACAGATGTTTTTAATAACTTCTATGTGCTCTATAATAGCTTAAAGGTAGCGTAAAAGAGACCAACTAAACCTTTACCCTGGCAACGGCGTAAACAATAAAAGGTAGCAAATAGAAAGTAAATTAAGTTAAATAAAGCAATTTTCCAAAAGATAAATTAAATAAATTGCAATTCCAACTATGTTGGTGAATATTTCTCACAAAATACCAGATCAAGGTTATTTACGCATACAAAGTAAAAAGAACCAGGTTCTAAATTTTTGAAAAACAGCAAAATAAACATATATCTACTATGATAAATTTACTGGGATTTTTGCTGAACATAGTCAGATTAGTTGTTTGTTTGATGTGTGTTATTCGTTGTGATATAATCGTTTGGTTTCCACAATATAATTGCTCAAAGTCAAATTGAACATTTGTGCCATTTATATTCAGTATCTACTTATTTTTATTATTTTATTTTATTTCAAGATTCAATTATGCTTTTCATCTCTTCCGAACAATTTTAGTGTTGCAGGCAGTTTATTACAAAAATATGAGTTTATAATGAATCCGAACAATATATGTATAATATAATGTTTTACCTGTATCACATATTGTACATCATTCGTCGGCTCCTCAACCGCGGCTTTAACCTCCTTAACGCGAATCCTTTTCACTACGTTGTTTGTGGTTTCCGAATCCTTTTTATTTTGCTCCTTATCTTTAATTGTACTTGGTGGTTTTTCTTTTTCCTTAGCAGGCGGAGGTTTATCTTTTTCTTTGCTACTTTCTCGTTCTAAACTACCTTGTCTTTTAATTGCTTGCATTTTCTTTACCCTTTCAGCTAAACTATCATTCTTGTTAATCGTTATTGTGGCACTGTCAGACGTCTTTGACCTGAAGATAAATTTTAATAGATAAATGAGTAATAATTATAATTGTATTTAATACTAATAATTTTTTAATATAAAATTTATTTTATTATAATAAAAATCATAATAAAAAACATATACAAAGGAAACAAGAGTAATTACGATAAATAGATATCACTAATAATACTATGAAACAGCAAACAACAATGTACTAAGTCAATAAAATAATATGTTAAAACTTTGATCTTTGGACCCTTATCAAACACTTGTAACAAAATATACTTAAAAGCCAAATGAATTCAATATCAATAAAAACATGAGTAAATATTATCTATTTGCAATATATTAAAAATGCTAAACCTACTAGCTCGAACATATTGATATTAAAGATAACAGCAGACTATCAAAATATAATATTAAAGACAATTAAGTTAATTGTTATTAATGTTATGAACAATATATAGGACAAAAAATATGGCGTTTGGTTTTTTAATGATATTAAATTATTTAATAAATTTATAATAAGTCTCTATTACAAAATAAATCCTATTACAAAATCCACTTTGTCCATGTAGTACGGACAAAATGACATATAAAGTAAGCATATACTGAGATTCTAATTTTTAACTTCCCGAAGGAGAAGTTCATGTTTTCGGAACAAAATCCGATTTGCTAATTTTATGCTTTCTTGACGTTTCAAGTCATTCTGAATGTAATGAGACCAAATTTGTAAAAAGTGTATGTGTGTATGTATAGCTGTGTGTGTATATGTATGGATGTGTGTGTGTGTGTATGTGAGCCGATTATTTATCTTTTGTCAACTTTTTCTCAAAAACGGCTAAACCGATTTTACAAATTTAAAATCGATTGGAATAAATTTGATAAGAAGGATTTTTTTTGAATTAGCAAAAATTGCTTTTTTGTAACAATTTTGGCAAAAATCTTGCTGTCTTACGTTTATGAATTTGTGGTTTGTTCACAAAAAATAATTGATAATTATCTAAATAGATTCTTTATATCTATGTCACCAATTTGAGTGAAACATGTTACCATTAATTCAAACGATTAGATATTTTATATTATCGAGAACTACGTACACGATGCAAATGATCAATATCTCACAAAATAATTTAATAAGTTTCTTAAAAACAAATTTTGGTATTTTTGCACTAAAAAGTCCTCCGGAAATTGATTGAATTATTCAAATTTATTCGAATTTGGATTGGAAGCACGTATTTATACACTATAATTAACGTAAACTAGTGGGGTGGGTGGCATCGTGCCTTAAGGCAAATTGCTGGAACTTCCCGTACCGTAACGAAATGTTCGAGGAATATTGAATGTTTTCAAATAGATTATTATAAATATTGTAACATTGTCTAATATTTATAAGAATTATATAAACTGAATTGCAGAGTTGAAATTATTTGTTTAAAGTATATTAGAACTATAGTCAGAATTAAAAATAAAATCTGAATTATTTTAGATATACAAAAAATTAAAAAAAAAAAAAAAAAAAAAAATGAAACAATTTTTTTTTCCAAAATCAATTATTTTGTTAAGACAAGCAGAAAGTTCTTTGAATCAATTGAATCGGACGCTTAGTTCTCTCAAAAACTGCCATTTTTTGTACATTTAGCTCTGTATCTCCATTTCGGCTGGGCCTGCCTTTGCGAAAAACTAATAACCCCTTCTCCCAATCATTACTAATTGAATGTTTTTTAGACCATTCAAATCGGATGCTCCGTTCTCTCAAAAACTCGATTTCTATTTTCTGCACTCTTTGCTCCTTATCTCCGTAACTGCTGGACCTGCCTTTGCCAAAAACTAATCAGCACATCTCCTTATCAATAGAAATCGAATGTTTTTTAAAATTCAAATCGGTTGATCCGTACGCCCGAAAACGTGGGCGAAAATTTGTATCCATACATACATACACACACACACACATCCATTTTTTCTGAAGTATGCCAAAATGTTCAGAAACCTTCAAAACGTCGAGAAATGTAAAAATTTTCAATTCCGATTTTCGGCCCATTACAATAACTTACCCTACGGGAAGTTAATACAGATATTGTAAATGTGTTTGAGAGATATCAATTGGAAATCTCAATATTTAGATTTAAGTGTATATTTTTTTAAATAAACAGTTGAAACTTTCATTTTAATATCTAAATCTCAATTTCGGTTGATCAAGTCAATTATTACACATATCGACAAGTTTTTGTTACTTGCCTCAAGGCTAAATACCACTTTCACCTAGTATATTTTTATTTTTTCCCGAAGGAGAAGTTTATGTTTTCACCAAAAAATTCGATTCGCTAATTTTATGTTTTCTCGACGTTTCAAGCCATTCTGAATCGAATGAGACCAACTTTGGAAAAAGTATGTGTGTGTGTGTATGTAAACATATTTTTTGACGTAAATCGACGTTTTCTCGAAAACGCCTGGACCGATTTCAAAAATTTAATAGCCATTCAATGTATCTCGATTTTGCGCTACGATCGGCCGAGCCGTTTCTTTGTAAATAGCAGAAAAGTGAAAAATTTTTCGTCTACGTTTTAGCCCGCAATCCTGAATCGATTATGAAAATTCAAAAACCGTTCGGAAGATATTGGTTGGGAATCGTGCTGATTAGATTTTGGTAGAGATCAGCTGGGCCGTTTTCTTGTAATAAAGTGTTAAAAAAAAATTTCGACGATTTTTATTATTATTTTTTTGACGATAGATACCATAGTCTTCAGGATCATACTAAAATATTACGGCCCTACGACAACTCGTTTAACTTTAAAAATTCGCCAAAGATTGCAAAAATTGGTTTCGTTTTTTGGCATTTGTCGAAATTAGACCTTTAATCGACGTTTTCTCAAAAGCGCCTGAACCGATTTCAGAAATTTAAAAGCCATTTGATGTATCTCGATGAAGACTATCGTTTGTCAGTTTTGTGCGACAATCTGCCAAGTCGTTTCTTTGACATTTGGGAAAAAGTGTTTAACGTTTCGTCCATATTCGGCGATATACATCATGGTCTTACAGAACTTACTGAAATATTACGGCCTTACAACATGTAGTTTAGAAAATGAGTAGTTTTTTTGACGTTTGTTCAATTTAAAATTAGACGATTTACTTGGTATAACGATAGAGTACTTGGTCTTAATGAACTAACTAAAGCGTTAAAGTCCTACGGGAACGGGTTCAATTATAAAAATCGTAGATTTTTGAAAATTTGCTCTTAGAAAATATTTCGAGTTAACGTGTTCGTTCGTTTTCATACTTTAATCACTCATAAATTAATTTATTTTTTATTGATTAAGTCTATTATTTACACATATCGGGAAGTTCATGTAACTTGCCTCAAGGCAAAATATCAACACCAATTAGTTTTATTTGCTTTTATAAAACAATATATTGTTTTACTGATTTTGTCATTTTGCATTGGAATACATATAGCATAAGTTTCAAAAATTATTTAAGAAATAGTATGAACTTTAAATATTATTAAGAAAAATTATTCAATATAAGTTATGAAGGGCAATGAGTCTTGACTAGACTCCACAAATATATTAATGAATAACTTAGCAAAAACCAAACCAGCATACAATTTTTATAGTAAAAACGCGTATATTTTGATATTATTTTTATCTCGCGCAAGTTTTTCAAGTATGTTCTTCTTTAATTTGAAAGATTTTTCTCAAACTCTAAAACCTATTTGTTTGTACGTAATTAATGAGAATATTAAAAACAAAGCCCACCTGCTTTCCGAATTCGGCCTATGAAGGGTGAACGAGGGCGCGGAATCACTATCCGTGTTCTCCACCGTTTTCCTTGGGGCGGGCGGAGGCAGTCGCACGTTGACGGTCACCTCCGTGTTCCGTTCGCCCTGGAGCCGCTGCAGGTCCGGGCTGGACGTCCAGGATGACGGGCGCGGCGCCGGAAGAGTAAGCGCATAATCAGCGTGCAGGTTCGAAGCGGCTTCGGGCAAATTCTGCACGGAAGCCCAACTTCTACCCCGACCGGAGTCAGAAGAATCACTGAACCCGTTATCATTGCTTCTGAAAAAAAAACATATTTGTTTAGCCAAAAGCAACACGTTCTTAATAACAATATGTATCACATGTGTTGTTTAGTATCTGGTTATAAAATAAACAGATAATACTATTAATAATTCAAAATAAAAAATATTTTATTTTTTAATTGGATATGCATTATAAAAAAATATCAATTAACTACCCGTAGTAAATTTCTTGTAAACATACACATAACTTGTTTGTAGAATACGCTCGTCGTCCAATTTAATAAAATAATCTATTTGAAAATATTTAAAATAATTGTTATTAATTATTGAATAATTTTTATTAATTATTGTTTATTTTCATTCCTCAAATATTTAGTTACGGAACGAAAAGTTCCAGCAATTTGCTTCAATCTAATGCAAGATGCATAACTAACATAAAATGTTGGTATAATCAGCCTTAACGCTATTACAATGCATAGTATAACAAATAGGCTCTTAAAAACGTGAAGTGCAACCTGCTTGTTTATATAAAATATTATATTTTAATACTCGACAATTCATAATAAAACGTTAGTACGTAAAACAAGTGCTACAATTTGAATTAACACTGTATTTATTAACAATAGTTTAAAAATAAAATAATAAGTTGAACTCCAACTGAAACATAAAACAAAAGTGTAATTTTTTTTTCTATTTCCTTGTAGCGCTTACATGTCGAATGAATTATTACATGCGAAGTAATCGAAAAGCATTTTTTGATGACAATTAAAATATAGGTAGATTTCTACTTTATAAATTTTTTGATAAGTAACAAAATGTTTGGTGTTGCAAATACACTTTAAGAACACCTTTAATAAAAATGAGGAAGAAATGTGATAAAAATTAATTGCGTAAAATGATGTGTTCAATCAATAACTCGAAAATGTTATAAAATAAAGTACTGTGAATAATACTGTCCGCTATCCATCTCACATAATTTTACAGTAAAATTAGAAAGCCACCAAGACCTTATGCGAAACAAAAACATTTGAGTGCGTTAGCAATTATGGGACTATTTTTCGTTTTTTATTTGTTAACTCTTTTTTTTTATTAAAAAATTATCAAGTATTTTACTATTTCACAATCCTGATTAAATGTCTCAACTTTTGATGAAACTTTCCAACACACTTTAGTACATATTTTCAAAGAATGGCCTACCAGAGTCGTCCGATTTAAAAAAATATAAATTTATAGTTCAACCAAAAGTCTTAATTGTTGAACACTTGGGGAAATTATCTTATTATTTTTTACTGTGGTCCTAGAAATTTTATTTATGGTCACGGTTCCAAAATTTAAATGAACCAAAGTTATAAAATTTAATCACAATTACCATGAGAGAAAAATGGTCACAGTTTTACCAAAACTCTAGGTTGAACTTAAAAGCTTATAATTTTCCCAATAACTTTTGTAAAATATAATAATAACGATTGATTTAGATGAACTTTATTTAAAGGACTTTTCGAATATTGTTTTATTTGTTTCTACTAAATTTTTATTTATTCATATACAGTTTAAATTGCAGTAAATCTGTAATTTTATATGTGTGTTTAATATTTTAAAATTAGGTCAAAACCAGCTGTAAGTGGAATTTTCTTACAACTAAGGCATCGTGCCTTAAGGCAAATTGCTGGAACTTTCCGTACCAAAAATTATTATTTTTTTAAAAACAATTAACATTTTTGAAAAAATTTTACTTCGAAAAAATTAGATTTTTGAGAAAATATAAATTTGACAAAAAATTACTTTTTTTTTGAAAACAAAATTTTTTTGAAAAGAAAAATGTTTTCTTTATTTTGACATATTTTGGAAATTCTGAACTTTTTTTCAAAGCAATCGTAACCGCCGAATGGCATTTTTTTTACTTCTCCCATTGGATCTCCGAAACCGCTAGACCTGCCTTCATTAATTTAATCAATTCTTTATCTTGTCAATACAAGTAAAATGTTTTTTGAATTATTCAAATCGGACGCTCCGTTCTCTTAAAAACTGAGTTACCGTTTTCGGCACTTTTTGCCCCGTATCTTTGGAACGGCTAGACCTGCCTTCGCCAAAAACTAATCAGCACGTCTTCTTATCAATACAAATCGAATGTTTTTTGAATTATTCAAATCGGTTGATCCGTGTTCCTGAAATCGTCGACGAAAATTTGTATCCGCACATATATGCATACACGCACACACATACACACACATACATCCATTTTTCTAAGGTATGCCAAAATGTTCAGAAACCTTTAAAATGTAAAGATATATAAAAATTTTCATTTTCGATTTTTTTGCGATTACTATAACTTGCCCTACGGGAAGTCAATTAAGTAGTGAAATTGATTTCATTTGTTTAGATTAAAAAATCCATATATATTGGTGCGTTTAGTAAATTCAAAGAATAGTTCAGAGAATAATGTTATGCTTAATACTAAAATTCTTATACAAAATGCTCAATTGTGATTTTAAAATTTAGCAGTTGATCCTCTGTGTATTCCGAACTACCGAGACTGCCTGTTTTAAAAACTAATAGGCTCTGTATAATACAAATCGAGCTGATTTCAAACCTTCACAATGTTTTTAGGCAATTTTTGGATATGGTAACAAATGATAATATATAAATATATTCATTCAAACATATTAAACACATGCATACGAAGACTTTCATAATTTAACGAAAAATGTTTTTGATATTTTTACAAGAATACTAAGAGAAGTTAATGAATATAAAAATAGATATTTTTAAACTACAATAACCACAAATAGTCACATCATAAGTCAAAACATGTATATTATTAACGGCCTGCCAAACAATTATTTTACAAAGTCATCGCTAACAGTATGAGTCAGACCAGGAGTATAACTTATTATTAAATGCAGAGTAACTGGCACTTAGGCATTCAGTCATATTTCGAAGAATTTGAATTACATATCTTTCTGCATATAGAGATCGTCCGAAAGATATAGATACGAACAGCATTTTATCTTATAAACATTGAAAAACAGAACATAATTCACAAGAAACCTCAAATTAAAAATCTCATAAAATAACGTAAAATAATAGACAATATTGGGGACAACTAACAAAATCCATTACTAACATAATTTTTTTAACACTATCAATATAAAAATATTCTATCAGTACTAGAAATAAATGATAAATAAAATTGGTTTAAAATGTGTTATGGTAAAGATTCAAATACATATGTTTCAATAAAATAGAGCCTAGAAATTTAAAATGAATATCAAAATGGCTTTTTCTGGTAACATGTGTTTCATTATTCAATAAATATTTTTATGACAAAAACATACTTGTGAAAATAACATACTTGTACTATGAACAAAATGATACAGCACTATTTCGTCAGCACTACGGAAGAATTTTTATGAGAGAAAACCATTCAAAGCAAATTAGCTGATTTATAATCACTCTGCATTTCAAAAGCGAAAAAAAATGAAAAATAAGAAAATGAGAAAGAAATTCTGGTTTATGAAAAAAACATTTTCAGTATAGAAAAGATGAAAAAAGAATCTGTAACCTACATATGAAGATACATATCAACAAAATGCTAGGTGCGTTCTCAAATCAACAAAACTATTATTTTAAGTGAATTAAAATAAACATCTACTTCAAAATAGAAAGTGATTGTATGTAATATGGAGTATGATTGTATCATATATACAAGTATAAAATTTGATCTTAATGGAAGCATCTATTGATAAAATATATTTAGATTTAAATTTCATATATAAGTAAATAATGTAAACTAGCACTAAAATAAAAACTACTTTTCTCACGCTGTTTATAATAGGATAAAAGGGGGCATTTCACCACCGCATACCTCAAAAACAAGTAAAGTAAATAATTTTTTAACAATATTTAAAAGTAAAGGGAGAAAGTTTGTGTGCGGACACAAATTTTCGTCAACGATTTCGGGAACACCGATCAACCGATTTGAATAATTCAAAAAACATTCGATTCGTATTGATAAAGAGACGTGCTGGAGAAGACATGCCTAGCCGTTCCAAAGATACGGGGCAAAAAGTGCCAAAAACGGTAACTCAGTTTTTAACAGAACGCGGATCTAGCGGTTATGGTCTCTCAACAAAAAAAAGTTAAAAAAGTGTCATTTGGCGGTCAAAAATGTTAATTGGACATATGTACATAAAATTATCAAATATTTTACAGAGATTTCAATATTGTGTACACATCTTGTGTAATTTTTTTTTGAGTTCCGTACCAAGATTTTTAGTCTTGAAGTTTATTTATATGGTTCAAACAAATGTCCTCGACATTTTTGACAGTATGGAATAACCGATTTATAAAATTGAAAAATCATTCGGTTCGTACTCGATCGCGAGGCGTTTTTGAAAAAGGCAATTTTGCCGTTTCTGAGGTTTGGAGCGCAAAGGGTGTAAAAACGGCTATGCAGTTTTTGAGAGAACGGATCATCCGATTAGATTAATTCAAAAAACATTTTGCTTGAGTGGACGGTGTACAAAAAAAGAATTTACAGAAAATTTAATAAATTTGAAATTTTTTTAAAATAAAATCAAAATTTTTAAAAAAATTCAAAGTTTTAAAAAATCAAATTTTCGAAATTTCTCATCATTTCCAAAAAAAACTAAATTTTGAAAAATTAAAAGAAATGATTTCTTACAAAAATTTAAGAATATCTCGAAAATTTCGAATTAGATATTTTCGACAATTTTGAAAATATTCGAAAAAATCGAATATTTTCAAAAATTTCCAAATTCTCAAAATATTTAGAAAAAGCGTTTTTTTAAATTCCAAAAAATTTCTAAGTTATCAGAAAATTTCTAAATTTTCAAAATAATCAAATTTTTAAAAAATGGACTCTCTCACATCTTCATAAAATACGCTCGTCGCCCAATTTAAAAAGCACTTATAATTACAGTATGTAATAAATAATCTATTTAAAATTATTAAAAACAATTATTGATTATTTTCATTCCTTGAATGTTTAATTACGGTCAAATGGATTTTTATTCATATTCATATTATAGTTTTGTTATATATTAGACAAAATTATTCCAGGGAAGTTCCAGCAATTTGCCTTAAGGCACGATGCCATGCGCCCCACTTGTTTAACCCATTTTTATGCATGTCACAACAGTTCGGGGGGTGTGGACGGTTGTGACACTATTCAATGGTAAGATTTGATTATATGACTACCCAATCGTTTTTAAGGTCTATTTAAGTCTATATAAGTAAGTCTATATATGTAAGGTCTATATAAAGGTATTTAACTATTGCGTAGACAAATGTTTAAATTACCACTTAATTTACTTTTTTCCTAGCTAACTGATATAATTGACGAAATTATCGCTCAAAGAGCAAGCGGCAACAACCGTACCCAACCTCCTCTACATATACTAGTATTATATTGCATTAGATATGAACAAGACACAAAGACAAAAATGTCATACAATATTATCATTAATATCATAATAATGATAATAATAATAATTATTATTATTGCTATTTACTATTATTATTATTAATAATAATATACTTACTTGTTCGACGCCGAATTGAGAGAAAGGCTCGGAGAAGAAGCGGTAACGTCATCACGTCTAAGAGGAATGTCATCGTCCCTTTTTCGTCCTCCAGGACCACCATGTTCTTTGTAATCTCTGGAAAATATTATAATTTATTAATTAAACTATATTTAAAGAATAAAAATACAAAATATGCTAAAACCTATATACCTACCACTATAATATATTAAATATCTAAGTATACATTTCTAAATATACAACTTTTAGATTAGCTATTTCATTATTTTTTTATGAAAAGCAAATACATACTAAAATAAGCATATGAATTAATTTCAGAATTACCTCAGTACAACCTTCTTAAATTGTTTTAATAATAAATTTAGCAACAAATTATAATCATGTAAAAATAATGCATTGTGAATATATCAATTTTACATAATAATTACCATTTTAATATTAATATAGGGTAGAGCAGGGCTTAAAGGTCCGCGGATAAATCTCATTACCAATATCTCTAAAACCAGTAAAGTTAAGAATTTTTTAACAACAATATTTGAAAGTAGAAAAGTAGTCAGCGTGATTCTTACGAAGTTACTGTCGGAAGATTAACAGAAATGTTTGAAAATCCATAACAAAAGTATTTCCTTTTGTTGTTAGTTTTTTGGTTCAAGCACTGTTTTTTAGTTTACGAAATCTTAACATTGTTTTTTATCATTTAATTGTATCATAAGGTGTATTGTTCCTTTTAATTCATATTCAACAGTTTTTTACATAACCTCAATAAAATATTGCACGTGAGAGGAAAGCACCAATTGAACCTTTACGCTGGCAAAAGTTTAACAACAAAAAATAATAATTAAAAAAGTAAATCCAGTTAACAAAAACAATTTCACATGAGTAAAATTTAATAAATAGTTATTCCAACTCTGATGAAAAATGACTACATTCCAACTCTGCTAATAAATGACAAAATACTAGATCAAGGTTATATACAGTGTTATATTTGCAAAAAGTGTACCAATAAAATGTATATTTTGCATTGGTTGCATAATGTAGCTATTATTTCGTCCTTTCGTTAAAATTTGGAATTAAAAATAACACATTGGACTTGTTTGCAGCCTAGCCTTCCCATTTTACTTCGCCAATGGGTAAAAAAACTAGGTGACAAATTTTTGCAAAAAAACAAAAAATACATTTCTACAATGATAAATTAGCTGCGTTTTATTGAACATGGTCAGATAGTTGTTTGTTTGATATGGATTATTCGTTATAATATAATTGGTTTTGTTTTCACAATATAATAGCTCAAAATCAAATTGGATTTTTGGGCCCAGTGCCCTATTAATTAACTTCCCGTAGGGTAAGTTATTGTAATGGGCCGAAAATCGGAATTGAAAATTTTTACATTTCTCGACGTTTTGAAGGTTTCTGAACATTTTGGCATACCTCAGAAAAAATGGATGTGTGTGTGTGTGTGTGTGTATGTGTGTGTGTGTGTGTGTGTATGTATGTGTGGATACAAATTTCCAGCCACGTTTTAGGGCGCACGGATCAACCGATTTGAATGGTTCAAAAAACATTCGATTCCTATTGATAGGGAAAAGAGCTGATTAGTTTTTGGCAAAGGCAGGTCCAGCCGTTTCGGAGATACGGAGCAAAGAGTGCGGAAAATAGAAATCGAATTTTTGAGAGAACGGAGTATCCGATTTGAATGATCTAAAAACATTCAATTAGTAATGATTGGGAGAAGTGTTTATTAGTTTTTGGCAAAAGCAGGCCCAGCCATTTCGAAGATACGGAGCTAAATATGTAAAAAATGGCAGTTTTTGAGAGAACTAAGCGTCCGATTTGAATGATTCAAAAAACTTTCTGCTTGTCTTAACAAAATAATTGATTTTGGAAAAAAAATTTTTGTTCCATTTTTTTTTTTCTTTTTAGTTTTTTGTTGAAACAAATAATTTCAACTTTGCAATTCAGTTTATATAATTCTTATAAATATTAGACAATGTTACAATATTTATAATAATCTATTTGAAAACATTCAGTATTCCTCGAACATTTCGTTACGGTACGGGAAGTTCCAGCAATTTGCCTTAAGGCACGATGCCACCCACCTCACTAGTTTTTATTTAATAATCAATCAAAATGAAAAATTTATTTTAATAGCATTTTTAAAATTTCGAAATAAAAATAAAAATTAAAAAATATAGTATTCAAATACATACTTATTATTGTTGTTCCATCTGCTTTCAATAATTAATTGTAGATTGAGTTTTCATTATTTTGAACCTGAGATAAGTTGAAATAACTGTGATAGTGTTGAAGGTTAATTTTTTATCTAATTAATGCTTAATTAATTTTGTCTAATATATAACAAAACTATTATATGAATAGCTAAGCAATTATAAAAATCCGTTTGAAATCGGTTTACATTTTTGAGTTCAATATTTGAATTGTCTTGCCTTATTATTAAAGTATGTTTAATCTAATAATATCAACTCATCCGCTTTCTATAAGTAAAAATAAAAATTTTAAAAATAGACGCAAAAATATAAAATATTTTTGAAAAGTGATATATTTCGATACTTAGAGTTTTTTTCAAAAAGTTTACTTGTACATTGGTCAAGATGTTACTCAAAAAATACTTTTTTGTCATTCTGAATTTTTAAGAAAATCTCATTTCTGTCAATTGAAATTCGAATTTGATTCCAGCCTTGTAATAATGTTAATTATCATATGTTGTTTGTTTTCGTTAAAAAAATATTAAAAGTCGTTCTACATTCAAACCATGTTAAAATTTAACAAATTCAAAATGTTAAGATACATGCAGTATCTTCAGCATCTATCAATTAAGTTCAGAAATAACGTTGCAATAATAAACTCGATAAGTAAACACAAAATGTAATAACGTCAAAGAAATCTTTATAATGTACGATGTTTGTTTTATTTTCGCTATTTAGATGCGTCCGTTTTTCCACATGGCTTCAATGAAAATATGCGCAATAAAAACAATATATTACCAGAGCACAGTTGACGATGTGAAATATTTAAAATACGATATGTTTTAATAAATAGCTCACGGGCAATAATGTCAGAAATGAAAACTATTATTTAACTTCTCAGAATTGCTTGTAAGAATATTTATATATACTTCATGCCAGCTTAATATATGCGAGCATACACATGTAAATATACGCATCTTATTAAATTTAAAATCTGGTTCAACAATAATTTCTTTGATGTAGCATATGAATAAAATTCTAAAATAATTTATTGCCATTAAAAAGTTTGTGTAATTAAGAAAACATTTAATGCTTTTGATAAAGAAATAATAAACGACAGAATTAATTTTGAGTATGACTCTGAGAAAAAAAATTGTTTGAATAATATAGAGAACAATCGAATGAACTTCAAAGTAACAACTGCAAACCAGAAAAAAAAGAAACTGAATTGGATCCATATTGCAAAAGTAGCTATTGCAAGCCAACATCAAAGAATAAATACATAGCCAAAAACAAGGACCAACTATAGAGATCGATGGCTTGCGCGAGAACAGAAAATGAGGAAATTGAAAGTTGTAGCTCAGATTACGAAAGCATGGAAATTAAAGTTTGACAAGTTTATTGTCATAGCAGCATTTCAACAAAGTTTTCAAATATTTAGTCAACTTTTGCAATAAATATTGTTCATGCATTTTCTTTTCACATAATTATTAAGTTTTTATCAGAAATTCCGATTTTCATGTTGCGATGAATTAGAAATAAAATTGCATTGTATAAATGACATATATAATTCAATTATTCTTAGGATGTTTATTTCTCAAATCGTGTATCTTCACCTGAAGCATCTCTTGCACCTCGTAGGCCAGCGCACCTGTGGATGGAAGCCTAAAGGGCACAGTGGGTCGCCTTTGGCCGTCGGATAAAGATGATGCATGCCGGTTTATCTTTGGAAACTCGAATACGCCGGTACAGTACTACGTGCGCTCGAATTTGTAATATTTATAGACACAGCACATACTAGCAACATCGACACAACAGCTGACATCCGCGATCATATTCACTTCAGCACCTCAGAAGAAATTATCAATACACTCGCTTTTCACTCAAGCGTACGTTTATAGATTACCAAAGCGGGGATTGGATGGATAATAAAACTAAACTTCAAATCACACACAATTTTATAATCAAATGTAGTTATTTCACAACTGTCACCATTTTCACAGAATAGAATTTAAGTTAACTTTCACATTTTCAGGTCCGTTGTGTTCAGTATCCAGAATGAGCACAAAATGGCGGAAAGTATTTAACACCGAAAAAATCACTAAGATAAATCACAAAGAGAAAAATAGCTAGTCCTTTGTCTCCCGACATAATGTGTTGCAAAACTGCAGATTGAAAAGTCAGCCGTTTGACCCACTTTGTTGGCGAAGGTTATTATTGCACATGCCGCGCGGCGCTAAATCATGTCAGCAGAATGACAAGAACTACTCTGATCGTGAAGACTTGAACGACTGCGTTTGCCTAATACGAAAAACTTTACTTAATACTGTCCAGATTAACTTAAAACCGTCAACCATCAACCGTTAGGCCAATCATTTGAAAAAATCTGCCAAAGGTCGAGTATTCGGCACGTGCGATCTCGTATGGATCGTCGAACGTCAGGAGCGCGCGTGTCTCCTGCGCGGATTCACATGGACGGTAACGCTTCGTCGAATATTTCGTGCCAGACTGAGGAGTGAATATTTCAAAACGCGTTGGGATCAATCGGCCTAAAGCGAAGAGTGTTGCGTTGCACGGCTTAAAATTAAAGATAGTCTGCAACCGACCGCCTGGCGTCTGGCCAAAAGATCAGATGCGGAATTAGAAGTCACTCAACGATACTGATGATATGGAAATGTTGCGTACGGCGCGCGCATTTCCAAATAGAGCTGACAGAGTTAAAGCAAACGAACGATGTTAAAGTTCGAAGTTCGATCATGTGATAGGTGAAGCAGATCCTTAGATTATCCCACACAGTGTTAACACAAACAAACGATGTTAAAGTTCGATCATGTGATGGTGAAGCAGATCCAAAGGTAACTACAGCATTCTAGCAACTTACATTAAAATTTAGAATCTTGTTCTCCGTGATGCATGAGATTTCTTCTGAACAATCGTAAAGAAAAAACTCATAATGACATGACTCACAATAACAAAAATCAATGTTATCGTCAATCATTCCTTGGATATCACCTTTTTTATGATAAATACAAACGAATAATATTGAAGTTACTTTTAAAGAAAACATCAACATTCTTGGAGATTATTAATACTAAATATTAAAACTTCGATCTTCATGATTGTGTAAGTATAAGTATCACAAAGCAGTTAGGAGGTCCACCACCATTGTCACAAAAACAAATAAAAGAAGGAATGTTTTAACAATTACATTTGAAAATAAAGGAAAAACTACCATCAGCTAACACCGGGCGACCACGAGATAAACGGCAATATTGTCAATATGGTAATGAAAAGGTATTTTGTTTTTGGGCACGAATGTTGAGCTTATAATATTTAAATATAATTTATAAGTATGCGTTATTTAATGGTTTTATAAGACGTATTGTTATTTTTAAGTTAGATTCAACATATTTTTACTGGTGAAGTAACAATAAGAATCTAGTGAATAAAAAGGTAAAATAAATTAGAAAACGCAATTTTACAAGAGATAAATTAAATTGAAAGTTATTTCAACTAGGATAATACATATTTCTAGCAAAGTTACATACAAAGGTTGCATCCAGTGCGATCTGAAACCTACCAAAGCAAGATTTACGATAGTAGTAAGATTTTTTGTATATTTTACTTTAAAATACATATTTAGATTAAGATATTTAATTTTTGTTCATCATAATAATCAAACTCCATCCCATTAAACAAATAATAAAGCTATTATTTTATGAAACGTTTTCAAAATTAAAAATTAAAAGAAAGATCTTTTTGCGCCCTGTATAAAATATAAATAAACGTAGTTTTACCATATAATAAGGAATTACCTGGATTTTTTACTAAATCTAGTTAAACAGTTGCTCGTTTGATATGATGTAGTTGGTTTGATGTTGTTTGTTTTGATGTAGTTCGTATGGATTTTACAGTATAATTGCTCAAAGTCAAATTGGACTTTTGAGGCCGTACCCTAACGTTTATGACGGTATTAATCCCGGAGTTCTATTTTCGGTATTTGAATATTGAAATAAATTTCGGTATTTGAATATTGAATATTGAAAAAAAATATTTTACTTATTGTACTTCTATCAATTACTAGTTTCTATTAATTTCTGAAATCATTAATGCAATTTCATTAATTAAATTAGCAATCGAAATAATGATTGATGCATTGCATTCAATATAAAATCAAAACTTGTCACGCACAACGAAATTTACTTGTACGAAGCCATTGATAAATTTTCATCATCATTAAGCCAATTTGGACATATGGTATTCGGTACGGCATTCAAACAAAATTTAAAAATGGCAAAATAATTGATTCAAAAAAATTAAATGCCTATATATAAACTATAAAATAAGAACTTTCTTAATACAGAAACCGCCTCAAAGATCATCCAAACTCACTAGCCCTGGCGAAGTATCTGACTAGTAAGTTTGGATGATCTTTGAGGCGGTTTTGGTACTGAGAAAGTTGAAACTAGTGGGGTGTCTGGCATCGTGTCTTAAGGCAGATTGCTGGAACTTCCCGTACCGTAACGTAATGTTCGAGGAATATTGAATGTTTTCAAATAGATTAATATAAATATTGTAACATTGTCTAATACTTATAAGAATTATATAAACTAATTTGCCAAGTTGAAATTATTTGTTTGAAGTATATTAGAACTTTTGTCAAAAATAAAAATAAAATCGGATTTATTTTCGATATACAAAAAATATTTTGGAATAATTTTTTTTCCAAAATCAATTATTTTGTTAAAACTAGCTAAAAATTTTTCAACATTTAGTTCTGTATTTTCGAAATAGCTGGGCTTACCTTTGCCAAAAACTAATAACCACTTCTCCCAATCATTACTAATTGAATGTTTTTAGATCTTGTATGCCAAAATCTTCAGAAACCTTCTAAACGTCGAGAAATGTAAAAATTTTCAATTTCGATCTTTCGACGATTACAATAACTTATCCTACGGAAAGTTAATAAAAAAAATACACATAGATTTCTTTCTCATGTTTAAAAAACTACTTTTGTTATATATTGTTATAATATATTCACAAACTTTAATTATGTTGTGTTGCGTTACATATTTTTGACAATAAAAGTCGTAATTTTCCATATATATATATATATATATATATATATATATACAAATTAGCAAACATATAATAATATTACTATTAATGTCGATGTTTTATTAATGACTATGTCTCAACTCTACGTGAGGCTTATGAAAAACCAGGTTAGGATCTTGCAAGAACGTTTAATTGTGACATAAAGGTTACTACTACACTTGGTTTTCCTGATCCGGAGATTTGTGGTAGGGAATTCCTGTGGTGCTATTATCCACAAGTTTCCAAATGTTTTATTCCAGATATAATATCTGGTAATTCAGAAACATGACAAAGATGCCGGTTTTTAACAAGATAATTAAAAAATGTATTAAACTTTTGTTTTTTAATTGCTCAGAAAATATTTGAAGACTAAATGTTCATAGGCACGGGATGCAATTTTTTAATTAGTTAAGTCGTTTTGGACAAATCTTGTAATTTATTTGCCTTACCTAGTTGTAAACCCATTTTATTATTTATAAGATCGCATTTGATTTTAATCTAATTTTCAGTTCCCATCCCGTGACTATAAAATGATTTTTGCATTTTTTTTAATAGTCAATATATAATTGTGCACAATTTCTTATAAAGATAAAGATAAATAATAACTAGTGATGTATGGCATCGTGCCTTAAAGCAAATTGCTGGAACTTTCCGTACCGTAACGAAATGTTCGAGGAATATTAAATGTTTTCAAATAAATATTGTAACATTGTCTAATATTTATAAGATTTATATAAACTGAATTGCAAAGTTGAAATTATTTGTTTAAAGTTTATTAAAACTTTAGTCAAAATTAAAATTAAAATCTGAATAATTTTCAATATACAAAAAAAAATCTGAAATAAAAAATTTTTAAAAAAAATTTAAAACATAATTTTTTTTTCCAAAAGCAATTATTTTGTTGAAACAAGCAGAAAGTTTTTGAATCATTCAAATCGGACGCTTAGTTCTCTCAAAAACTGCCATTTCTTTCACATTTAGCTCTGTATCTTTGAAATGGCTGGACTTGCCTTTACCAAAAACTAATCAGCACATTTCCCTATCAATAGGAATCGAATGTTTTTTGAACCATTCAAATCGGTTGATCCGTGCGCCCGAAAACGTGGACTGAAAAATGCGAGCATACAAAAACACACACACACATCCATTTTTTCTGAGGTATGCCTAAATGTTCAGAAACCTTCAAAACGTCGAGAAATGCAAAAAAAATCATTTTCGATTTTCGGCCCATTACTATAACTACCCCACGGGAAGTTAAAAATACTTTTATACTTACTGCCGTTTCAAAATTTTGAACATTTGAACTTTTAATATTTCCGAAGCCTTTGGATCAGTTTAAATTACTATTAATTTTAGATGAAATTATCCCTTTATTGAATAGTATGTACATTACTCATGTTTTTCGTGGATTTTAAATTTCTTTTTTGGTCTCCAAAACTGCATAAATTACATCAGATATTGCATCATTTACACATTTTGATTTTTATTCGTTTAAGATTTCATACTAATATCATTACGCATTACGATTTAATGTTTTTGGTATCTCGTTGATGTACAGTATTTGATCGCATTAATTATCGCCTAATATATATACATTTAATACAAAGAAAGTATATGTACCATATGCAAAATCTATTTCTGAATCTATCTATCGGAAAATAAATTCTCCTAGATAATATACTCTTGCAAACGCATAGATGAGTTTTGAAATATTTATAATTAACTTACGCCAAGGCGCGAAAATAAAATGTATTTCAAAATAAATTTTGTCAATCAG